CGTGCCCCCCACACCCCCTCATCGCTTTTCCCCTTTCCCGTTAATTTGCCCACCTGTGGAGATCCCCATGGATCGGGAAGGGGGGGGGGGCAGAAGCAGTTCCCCCCCTTCCCCTTCCCCTAGGGCTTGGGTCTGGTTTGATGGATGGGTTTGTTCCCTTCAATAAGCCGGTTCAGGTGGCAGGATGTGAAGGACGGGGTGGGAAGAGCCGGAGTCAGCCTTGGCTGCTATGGGGCAGGGAGGGCGAGCGTGGGGGTCCCGGGGGGGGGGAACAGAGCGTTTATGGAGGGGGGGGGCAAGCCGGAGGCTTGGAAGTGTTGACGGGAGAAGGGAGGAACAGAGACAAAGGGAAAGGCTCTGCCTCAAGGGATCATCTGGATCCGCTGCCGGGATAGAAATCCCTCCTCCCCCGGGATCTCCGGAGCCCCTCGGGATGCTCTGGAAGCCGGGAGACCCGGCTGGCTCGGGTCTATGGGGAGCTGCTTCAAGTCATGGAGCTTAGGAGGTGCCTCAAGCCAAGCAAGCAGCCCGGGCATGGGATGGGATGGGATGGGATGGCCGGGATCCAAGGGAGTTTTGGTGCTGGACGGATGCTCAAGGGGGAAAAGGGATTCTGGCTTCCTAAACCAGCTTGGGAATCTCCTTCCCATCTCGTCCCCAGGGCCGTATCCGTGCGGGGAGCTTCGGGTGCTGTGGCAGATCCCACACTGCGGGGTGCGTTGGGATAAATGGGAGCTGCCGTGGATGTGTACGAGCAGCAGGATGCTGACAGCCCCGTGCCTCAGTTTACCCCTTCACCCACCACAGGGACGTAGCACAAGAGCCAGGCCATGAATGGGGCTGGATGTGCATGCAACGGGTGGGAAACTATGGAAAGCCAAGGAGCGAGCACCCATAAAGGGGCAGTGATTCGTGTCCCCGTGTCCTGCCCGCCCCACGCCCTGTCACTAGGAGACGGGATCCATCCCTTGGGAATGTGGAGCTGTTTGTGCAGGGGATTAGCCCTGGGGACACCCCCTCGGCCCCTGTGCCCGAGGCAGGGATGGAGCATCCCCCCCCGCAGAGCCGGGATACCCAGAGCATCCCCCCCTCCCCCCGGCTGGTACCCGGCCATGGGCGGGGGGAGGCGGCAGCGACATTCCCAGCACCAGGAATCCCTGCAGCTGTTTCCTGCCGCCCTATCTCAGGGGCACATCTGGGGGAGCCGGGAGCAGCCGCCCCCCCCTTCCCGGTGCTTCCTCCCCCTGCTCCCGTTGCCGTTCTCACGGCCCCCCCCCCATATCCCTGACCCTTATGGGCACCCCCAGTGATGGGGGGGGGGTTGGAGCATCACACCCCTGTTACCCAAACGAGGAAATGGGCTGAGACCATTGTGACACACAGCCCCCCCCATACCCCTAAAGGCCATGGGGGGGTCCATGAGGGTGGGTGCACCCATAGCTTGGGTGCTTTACCCCCTCTCCCTACCATTGCTCCCATCCCTGCTGAAGGAGGGTGAGGATGGGGCTGGGGGGTGCGGAAGCAGCAGGTGTGGGGACACGGGGTGACTCAGAGGGTGACAAGCAAAGCACCTCCCACCATATCCTGCCGGGGGGGGACGGACCAGGGGCACCCAGACCCACATCACCTTCACCCCCCCCTCCCGCCCCATAGATGTGGGCGCTGCAGCCCTGGTGTGGTGCAGAGAAGGGAAACTGAGGCACAAGGGAAGGGGGTTGATGTTTCCTCCCCTAAATCCCTCCCCTTTTACCCCCCCCCCCCCAATCCCTGCCCCACTGCAGGATGTGGCTTTGCCTCGGTGCATGCAGAGGCCGTTACAACTCATCACAGCCACCGCCCTGCGCTGCCCACAGCATCCCCAACACAAGCCCTTGGTACCATCCACCCCCGGTACGGATGCAGAGCTGCATCCTACAGCATCGCGTGGAACATCATCCCCATCATGGGAAACATGGGGGGAGAAGATGCTTTACCTCAGCCCCATTGGCCCCCAGTAACGCAGCTGTATCTGGAGTAAGGGGGAAGGCAGAGCGAGCAGCTTGAGAGCTGTTTCCACTCCCATCTGCACTGGTACAATCTGGGTTTCCTGTCGTGGGTTTTGGTGCTTTTCAAACCTGAAGTGGTGCTTCCTCTGCTCTGCAGGTTCGTTCCTCCCCCTCCCGGATAGGGAATGCCTGAGCATCCCCCTCCCCAACCTGCCTGCTTGGGATGGGATCCAAGCATCCCCATGGGAATCTCCCAGTGGACATCAGAGAATCCAACATCACCCCGTCCTGTACCCCAGGGACGGGAATGTAAGCCATGGATGAGGCACATCACCCCAAACACGTCTCCATTGGGCTTCTCCATCCTTTGCCCCAGCTCTTGCTCCGTACCTTGACTCCAGCAGCTGGGATTTAGATCTATCTAGAAAAGCTTTGGAACCCCCCATCCCATCCCATCCCATCCCATCCCATCCCATCCCATCCCATCCCATCCCATCCCATCATCTCCCCCCATGGAACCCCACTGTGTGTGCCCATGACCTCTTCCCATTGGATGAGGAGGAGGATGCTGGGTGTGCTGCTGAAGGCCAGTGTCCCTTGTCCCCGCAGCAAATGGATGTTCATGTATGTGAGCCAGATGGTTCAGTACATGTATACATGTGTACGCATGTGAGCTGCATGCCCCCTGCACACATGTATGTGTACGTATGTACATGTATGTACGCACGGGTCGTACGCAAGTACCGTAAGGGCGCGCTGCCTGACTCGCTGCTGCCCCCTGGCGGTTGGGAGCGGGCGCGGCGCTGCAGCGACCCCTGGCGGGAGAGCGCGGTACTGCAGCCGTCACCGGGGACCCCCAACCCCACGGACCCCTGCAGACCCGCAGCATCCCCCACCGCGCTTCAGAGCATCATCCCCTCCTCCTCTGCCCCACGGAGCCTTCCAGGCCTTCCTGGCACCGGAGACACCAGGTCCAGGAGCTGCCTTCAGAGGTGATAGGGTGGGAAGGGGGAACACAGAGGACATTAACGAGCTTCAGAATCCCAGCCTGGTTTGGGTTGGAAGGGACCTTACAGCGCATCCAGAGCCACGGGCAGGGACACCTTACACTAGAGCAGCTTGCTCCAAGTACCTCTCAACCTGGCCTTGAACACGGCCAGGGATGGGGCACATCTGACCCAAGTATCTGGTAACGCTCATAGCCTGGCTATGAGTGATGTACAAAACTACCTCTTCTTGTCTCCCCTCTCCAGTTTGGGGTGAACCAGGGCTGGTTTTCACACTACATCTTCCTCTCATCTCTCTTTTGGGCTGCTGCTTCAAGACCAAAACGAGGAACAAAGTGCGTGACCAACCTGTCAGAAAAGCCCCTCTGGCTTTTCCTGATACTCAACAATCATGATCCTCCCAAAAGACAACTCACTGGCTTCAATCCAGCCCAAGTGCCTCTAGCATCACAAAGCACCAGGTCTTGCGCTCCCACTGAAATCCATGAGGACAGCAGTGAGGAATCCGGGTTTTTGGCCAGCCGAGAGGGCAAAGAGAGGCCAAAGCTGTAGGAGAATTGAGGACAGAAAGAACTAACCAGGGATGTGAGGACATAGAGGGGGGTGAGGATTGCTGGTGGGAAGCCAGGCTCACCAAGAGGCTCCAGCCCCTGCCTGCTCCCAGAGATGAGTTAACAGCCAAGATACTGTTAATGCAGCAGGATTGTCTTCCTTGTGATTTCTTGACCATCAGCAATTTTCCACAGGGAGCTTATCTGGGATACAAACGAGTCTCTGATGCACACACTTGGAAGGAGCCGGATAATCCAATACCTAAGCAGGTGGTAAGAAACCTGGAGAGGGGCTTGGGACAAGGGCCTGTAGGGCCAGGCCAAGGGGAATGGCTTGAACCTGCCCGAGGGGAGACTGAGCTGAGCTCTTAGGCAGAAGCTCTTCCCTGTGAGGGTGCTGAGGCGCTGGCACAGGGTGCCCAGAGAAGCTGGGGCTGCCCCATCCCTGGCAGTGCTCAAGGCCAGGTTGGACACAGGGGCTTGGAGCAAGCTGCTCCAGTGGAAGGGGTCCCTGCCCGTGGCAGGGGTTGGAGCTGGAGGAGCTTTAAGGTCCCCTTCAACCCAACCCAATGATCCCAATCCACAACTTCCCTGGGCCTTGGGAACTTGCTCAGTGCCCTGAACATGCAGGGGGGATAGAGAAGGTACTGCCCTAGGGCAGGGAGTGCTGGGAAGGCAGGAGCAGACACCAGTGATGCTCAACAGGATCTCACGTTTATTATTGAGAAGTGATTAATGGTGAAAAGAAAGGCAATGCCCATTCCTCAGCGGCTCAACAAGAAACTGAAGGAACAGATTCACTACACAGTTTACAAGAGTTCTTCTTTTTGTGTGTGTTCAAAATCCATCTTCCTGTAACCAAAACACGTTTTTACCACTGGTCTCAGCCTCCAAAACTCAAAGTAATCCAGACTCCATCTGTATAATGCACAAGAACATCGCTGAGGACTCCTAGGGCTTGACTTTGGAGGAACAAAGGAGAAAATGAACCACCTTTAAGACACAACCTTGTGGACAATTGCTCTTCCATTGTTCTTAGGCCAAACCCCCGACTTCCTCCTGGGATTCCTCCTCTTCCAGGCCATGGGATGGGGGGAAGAAAGAACCAACGTTATTCCACTTGCAGCGCTGGATGTTCCAAGTGGTGTCCCAAGTGCAAATGGCAGAACCAGGGGAAGGAGGCATAAACGGGTGGAAGGGAAGCGTTGGGGCTTAAAAATGAGAGGAAACCAAAAGGCAGATGCCACTTGTAGGCCTCAAAAACCCCAAAAGAACATAGGAAAAAGACAAAAACATTTTACAGATGTAAAATGTTTACAAAACCCAAAGCGGCTGCTGGGAAATCACAACCAAAGCCAAAAAAAAAGGGACAGGTTTTTACCTCTACTCTACCTAGAAGGGATTTTTTTTGTCCTTTTTGTGGTTTTTAAGTCCTATGTCTGGTGAATTTCCAATCCTTTTTCCTTTGCAACTGAAAGATTGGAAAAGGTCTCTTTGAAGTCAATGAAATTAAGACAAACCAAAGAAGTCCTAATTCTCTCTGGGCTGCTTTGCTCATTCTTTCTCTCCGGGGCAGGTAGCTGGGATGCAATCTCTGCTGCAGTCTCTGGGGGGAGGCAATGGCCATTTACTTCACCCGGCCTTGGCGTTCCTGCAAAAGGAAAGAAGATGTTAGACAAGAGCAGTTGCAATTCCCTGTTTGCACACAGCATCGTTGGGACACATGGACCTGAATCCTAACCCTAACCCACACCACCAAAGCCATGGATTCATGGAATGGGTTGGGTTGGACCATAAAGCTCTTGCAGTTCCATCAGCAGGGATGCTTTCTAGCAGAGCGGGTTGCTCCAAGCCCAATCCAAGCTGCCCTGAACACTGCCAGGGATGGAGCACCCTTCTCTGCAGAAAGGGTGTTCCTATGCAGAGGACCTTCCTTCCACCCCCTTGGTATTCATCCCCATCTCTCTGGATGAACCTTTGCACCAACAGGCAGCACAGAACCACATACACCCAGGAAGGGCTGTGACACCCTCTCTGTGCCAAGGACCATGGGCTGGTCTCTTCTGGTTTAACAGAGCAGCTTTGCACAGAAGTGTGTCCACATTACCCCAAAGGCTCCAGAGATGCTGCCAGCCTGCACTCAGAGTGCCATTCTCAGCTGAATCAATACCACCTTCCCCAGCCCCAGGAGATGCCAAGCCCATCCCACCTCCAAAGCAACGTAAAACAGGAGGTGCCCCTGGCACAGTGAGATGTGGGTTCTCCCTTCTGCCCCTCACAAGGGACAGTGCTGGAGCTCAGTGGTTGTCTCAGGTGAGGATGCTGCCCCATGGTGGGCAGAGGCACTCAGGCTGCTCAAAGGACCAGTGTCCTCTGGCACAGGTAAAGCCAGGGAGAGCTCGTCTCCAGCTTCCATCCTGGGCTAACAGCATGGATAGCTGTGTACTGTTAGACACCAAGCCAAGACGGTTGCTAAGAACAGATGCCTTGCATCCAGCTCGAAGGATGGATGCTCATCCACGCCAGGCTCCAGCCTCTCCATGAGCCCTGTGTGATACCATGTACAGATGGGCAGCTGCTGAGGAGAGAGGTAGATGAAAGCAGGTATCTCTTCAAGAATATGTGCCCCACATAGAAGAGAATGAAGGTGACTTTGCTCCACTAAGTCTGCCCAAATCTGTTACCTAAATCACTGCACAAGAGCACAAAGTGCAAAGGTGGAAGCAAAGCTGGTCTTGAACATGAAGGAGAAAAAGAAGGATGGAAACCAGAAGGAAGGTGCCAAGTCCTGCTCCTCCCCTGCTGCCTGGCTCAGTCCCTTCCGTTCACCAAGGCCAGATGGCAACGTGACCCATTCCTGCTGCGAGAAGCCCCAACTGCCTCTGTCTTCCCAAGGAGAATATGGGGTAAGCCGTGGCCAGGTTCAACCACCCCCTTTCTGACCACGTCCTGGTGTCCTGGGCTGGCTGCAGATGGTGGCTGAGGGTCCTACCGTGCACATCACCCCACAGCTGAGCAGATGGACCCCGATTACTCACTGGGAAAGTAAAGGCATCACCTTCAGAAGAGGTTGGAGCAGATGGCCCCATGCTAAAGAGGAGACCACAGTGAACATCTTCACTTCAGGGGTGATCATAGCCCAGTTTTTATCAACCCAGTGTGCTGTTTAGACCCTCCTGCTTTTAATGCTTGCCCCACAACTACTGTTCCCTTCCATCACAGCTGCAAACAGCATCCTCAGGAGCTTGCTGTCTCCTCTATAGAAACACAGGTAGCCAGGGCCTGAAGGACTTTCACTCTCTCATCTCCCCAGCCCAACTGCCACAGGTCCCATGAGGACATCCTGGTCCCTGGGGGTTAGGGAGTATCAAGAGAGCACCCAAATCACAGCAAAGAAGCGAACAGATCTACAAGAAGGCTCAGCAAAGGTCAGTGATGCTGTAAACATTTGTCCTTCCTGGCTCATAGAATGGTTTGGGTTGGAAGAGATCTTAAAGCTCCTCCAGCTCCAACCCCTGCCACAGACAGGGACCCCTTCCACTGGAGCAGCTTGCTCCAAGCCCCTGTGTCCAACCTGGCCTTGAGCACTGCCAGGGATGGGGCAGCCACAGCTTCTCTGGGCACCCTGTGCCAGCGCCTCAGCACCCTCACAGGGAAGAGCTTCTGCCTAAGAGCTCAGCTCAGCCTCCTCTCTTTCAGCCTGAAGCCATGACACTCATTGCTCTGAAATCATGGGCTGGGGGATGACAGAACCTACAGCTCCAGGACAGCCCAGGAGAGGGCAGAGCAGCATCTGCATGCACACACTGGGCTTTGCCCTGGTATCCAGTCCCTGGAGAGCAGAGATTGCATCAGGAAGTGGTTCTGACTTCATTTTCATTAGACCTGAGCCATGTCTTACTGATCCACTGGGAAACAGCTCAGATTGCTTCCACCTATCAAAGCTCTCCTGCCATTCATGACGGCAGTCCCTGGGGGCTGCAGCAATGTCCCATGCCCAGTCCTCATCATTGTGACTGAAAGAGGGGGTGGAGAACGCAGACGAGAGTTTAAGTTTTCTCCTTACGCAGCCAACAACATCAGAAGGCCCATAAGATTGGACCCAGAAGGATGACAAGAGGTGATAAATCTGTTCAGAGGCTCTTACCTTGCTTAACAACCAACACTGAACCTCAACACCCCTTGGGCAAAGGTAAGGATCTCATTGCCACGCTCCAGAGGTGCTTATCATCAAAGGGAGGGTCTGGAGAAGGCCCAAGAGCTGTGCAGCAGATCAACTTGGTTTATTTGGACCTGTCTGACCAGCCTGAGGACATCCATACAGCCAGAAAGCAACCTCAGCTTCAAAGTGAGAGGGTCCTAAAGCAAAATGCATCACTGCCCCACAGAGGAACAGCACGAGATCACGTCACTGGAGTCCAGTCTGTGCTCCCAGCATCATTCTCCAAAGGGCTGAGACAGGCAGCAAGCAAACCCTGGCCTCAAGACACGCACACACACACTCTTGCTCATCACAGACCTTGCTCAACAGCCCCACTTGCCCACGATACGGTGTATTTGGCTGTTGGAATTCTCCTCCCGATGCCACTGCCTGTCACACACAGGGTGTGTGTTTGCAATGCAGCAAAGCAGCACAGATTTCCATGTGCCCACGTCTCCAAGGCCTCAGAGATGAGGAGTCAGAGCAGCCCATTGCCTCAGCTGTGCCCAGACACAGCACAAGTGATGGATGGTGCATCCCTTCCTATGTTCATCACAAAGAGCCTCTAGTTCTCACTTGGGATTTATAACCCCAGCCTGAGGTGTTCCTGTTGTCAGCCTTCAAAAGCCAGCAGAGTTAAGGGAGGAAAGCTCCATCCCTGCCTGTCTCACCTAGGAAAGGGGATGAGCATCAGAGTGATGTGGTTATGTTCAGACACCTTCACCCTACCTCCCAGCCACGTAACAGAGCTCACCCCCAACAACGAAGGCAGGAGCTACACACATAAAAGTGACTTTGTCAGAGCAGGAAATACCTTTTGGTTTAAGAAGCAAAACCAATTGGGAGGAAAGCCCAACATCCACAGAACCCCACAAGGGGCCAACTCGCATCCGTGATCCAAGCACTTGATCACATGAAGAAACATGTACAATCACCCTTCTATAGAGAGAGCCATGTCCCACAGGGCAAAATTTATGCAGGGAACAGAAGTCTTTCATGCTACAACAAACACACATACACCCAATACAGCATCTCCTGAAAGGACAAGAGGAGATGGATTTGCCTGAGTCATCAGCTTGGATAAGGCCAATACTGTGAGAGCCTGGGTGACTGTGTATCAGTACAAGCAGGATGGCACTGCTCTGTGGCAGGAGGCCAGCACTTGGTGCCACAAGGCACTAGTTCATGCCCTAAAAGCAAGACAGTACAGGCAGGTACAACCAAAACCATCCAGGCAAACGAGGGGACTCCATTAACTGCAGTGAAAATGCCTGCAGGGCACAGAACAAGCAGCTTGCTAAATGAGTACCTGTCACATAACACTTCACATGAGACAGAAGAGAAGAAAGCATCTTCTTTCAGCTCCAAAACTGTTGCAAACCCTCCACCAAGAGGCAGTTTTAACCAGGGAACAGCAATGTCTTAAAGAGAGACATTAATCTGAAGTCACAGAAGCACAGAATGGTTTGGGTTGGAAGGGACCTTAAGGCTCCTCCAGCTCCAACCCCTGCCACGGGCAGGGACCCCTTCCACTGGAGCAGCTTGCTCCAAGCCCCTGTGTCCAACCTGGCCTTGAGCACTGCCAGGGATGGGGCAGCCACAGCTTCTCTGTACCAGGGCCTCAGCACCCTCAGTATGCTCAGAATGAAGGCCATTCACATATCCAGCAGGATCAGCTCAGGGTACTCCCAGCTGGAGCTGAACTCACCCAACCAAGGTGAAGGTGACCTGGCTGAGAAGGGACACCAAGTGCTGCCCACACCAAATGAGTAAGGAATCAGTTCCTAAGGCCAGGATGCTACATAAACTTCCCCTGCTTAACCAAAGCTAGAACACAACCAAAACCACACAAGGATGCTGTAAAGGGCTTTGGAGTGCTGGCTTAAAACTGTCATAAGCATAAAGGCATCCTTCTGTCAAACAGACTGTACCAAACTCCAAGGAGCAGCTTGTTTTCTGTTTCCTCTATTGCTGGGCAAATCCATGAGCATGGACTCAGATGCAGAGGGTTTAAAAAGCCTGGAAAGAAATGGAAAAGAACTGGGTGCATTGCAGTGGAGGGTATCTGAAGCAAGGGAATTCTGTCCAGGTGCATCCATCAAACTGCACTGTGGGCAAGGTCTGGAGCAGGCAAAGGTAAATCACCTTGGTTGGGAGCATGGAATAAAGGAGCTGGGAGTGCAAGCAGAATTCCTCTGCTGTCACAGGAAACACTTGGCTTCACCTGGATGTGCAATGTTCAGGAAGCCAGGTTTGTAAGGCAGAACCACTGGCCTGGTGGGTATGGTAAAGCCAAAGCAAAGGCAGCACTAACCAGGATGACCATAACAGCAGAAGACAGCACCAGCTCATCCTGCAGGGAACAGTGAAGGGAATATGCTCTCCTCTCCCCTCTGAGGTTACAGATGAGGAAGATAAGAAATAAAGAGCCTTGCAAAACACCCCCCAAAGCATTCATTCTTTATAGCAAGTGGTACATAGTCTGACACCTCCAAACAGGCTCCTAAAACACCACTTAGTGTGCCCTTAAGTTCTCTTTCCTAAGGGTAGCAGTGACATTTGTCACTATGAATACCCCCCTTCAAGCAGCAGATGGTGGCAGCATAGACACAAAGCATCTCCTGTTTGGGAACAGCAGCTCCAATCCGGGAATCCAGTCTTTTCCTGGGATACCCCAGCATGGAAACACCCACAACCCCCTCCCCATCTTGCACAGCTCATCCTGATTCAAGTCCCACTGCAGAATGGCTTGAATCAAGGGCAAACTTGAGAGCAGAGTGCTCCAAGCCGAGAAGGGACAGAGCAGGGCTGGGCTTCATGGGATACACTTCCTAAAATGCCTTGAAGCTACAAGGAGCCAAGTATCCCAACCCATGGCAGAACAAATGTCCATTAACTTCCTTTAGAGTTCACATGTATTGCTTTTCCACAAGACACAAGCTGTGAACCTTGCATGTGAAAGCAGATCCCAATCTAAAATGGTCACTGCACCATTCCTAGAAATCCCAGTGCATTACTATGGGCTGGGGATGGTGGTGGTGGTGATTTTGGGTTTCTTTAAGAGCAAGGGAACAAGGTGGTGATGTGCTCTATCAGGAAAGCTGCTGTTACGGGTTTCAAGGAGTCTTAACCTGCTCCAGGTAGGATCACACTGAGAGTCAGCTTCAGCATTTGGAATCAGGAAAACATCCAACTTTTTTAAACACTGGATAAGCAGAGCAAAGAGATCCATCTCCAAACAGATGGAGAGCAGCCTCGGAGGCCAGGATGCACAGAGGCAACAGCAAAGGATGAGCAAGAGCATGAGTTCAGTGTTTTCCACCCTGACCTGTCCATTTCAGCTCCAAGGAATGAGGAACATGAACATCCTGTCACCAAAGCCTGGTGGCAGAGACATAAGAACTGGCTTTAAGGCAGGTGATGACCTGAGATGCTCCAAGGGAGATATTGCAACCAAGTGAGTATACGGCAAATAGCACACACCAAGGGCTTATGTACCAGATCCCCTCCTTGCCTAGGGATTCCAGAGATGGATGACTAAGTTTCCTTCCAAAGAACACTGCTGCTGCACTGTGCCACACTGGAATCCATAACACTTAGGTCACTCAGCAGGCACTGAATGCCCATCATTCTGCCCCTGAGATGCTAGCACATCCCCAACAGACACTGAAGGAGGAAGACCCTTCAAAATGCAACAGGAAAGTTGATACAGGTGGTCTGCAGTGCTAAGACAATTGCTAAGCCATGGTTTAAATACCCACTATTGTTTAAATACCCACTAATGTTCAGGCATCACAACTTGCAAAGGCAGCAGCTTTCCAGTAGAAGAGACCATTGATCTGTCCACTTTCTGCCCTCCCCACTCTGCTGCTCTTCCTTCTGCTCACTACCTGATCCCATTTACCCAGGATTAACTCTTCCCATCCATCCATCAGCAATATCCTCTTCCATTCTCCCACTGTGCCAAGGTCTGCCTAAAGTCAGACCTGGAGCATATGAGAAGTCCTACTTCCCAAGATGCACTGCACACAACTACATCTCTGACTGCATTCCAAACCTTAGTAAAAGGGATATCACCACTTGAGGACAGGCTGGATACCAAAGTGGAACAATTTAGGGATGTGAAGGTATACAAAATATCCAGGTTCTCACAAAAAGCAAGCTGACAGCCTGCAATGGATTCCTTCCTCCCTTACATCCTTGCTTCAAGTGCTGGTAGTGGCAGGGGACTGGGTACAGAATGGGATCACCCCAGTGTATGGGGAAACCAGCAGAAAGCTGTGCTCTGGGTTGGGATGAAGGGACCTTAAAGCTCCTCCAGCTCCAATCCCTGCCACGGGCAGGGACCCCTTCCACTGGAGCAGCTTGCTCCAATCCCCTGTGTCCAACCTGGCCTTGAGCACTGCCAAGGATGGGGCAGCCACAGCTCCTCTGTTCAACCTATTCCAGTCTCCTAGCACCCTCATAGGGAAGAATTCCTTCCTAAGACCCCATCTCCATCTCCCCTCTGGCAGGTTAAAGCCATTCCCCCTTGTCCCATCCCTACATCCCTTGCTCAAAGCCCCTCTCCAGTTTTCTTATTGTGCCTTTAGGTATTGCTAATGCTCATTTTAACGACTGTTTTGATCAAATACAAGCCAGATCTCAATGATGGGGAGGTTCAGCAAGAGGGGACCAACGCCAGTAAGACCCATGTCAAGCAGCAATCCTCCTGTTGAGGAAGCAATGACAGCAGGCTTGGAGCTGATGGTCAAACCAGCGCTGCTGCAGGCTTCAGACACCAGCTTCAGACCCAGCCAAGCTCTGCCAGGAGGAGCAGAATGACCACTGGCACTCACCAGAGAGAAGAGAAGCAGTCACAGACCTGAGCTGCAGCGAGGGAAACGCAGGTTGGGCATTAGACAAAGCCTTCAAGAGGAAGGGTAATGAAGCATAGAAATAGATTGCCTGGGGAGGAACAGGAACTGTGCTCCTGAAGGGCTTCCAAGTGGTGGGAAGCATCTGTGACACTGCCTCCACAGTGAGTAGGGGATGGATTAAGTGGCTGCTTCCTAACAACTCCCCCTATTCCCCCCTGCCCCCCCCAGTCTCCTACTTCAAACTGTTCCCATCCAGGAGCTGACAATAGCACAGGAATACAGCGTGTGTAGAATCCAGGAGGATCTAAAGCAATGAAAGGACAGTGGATTGCAGGCAGGGCCTGGGCAAGCCTCCTCACACTGCTCTGCCTTAGCACCCATTCCCACCCCAAAGGCTGGGGTAGCAGCTTCTATGAGGCACAGGGATGCCCACCAAGCTTGTTGACAAGCCCCTGCCTTTACAGGCTGGGCTGAGGCCAGAGACAGACACACAAAGTTACCTTCTTAACATTTTCCTCCTCCTCCTGGCGTTTCTCATAGTGTGAGAAGTCATCGAAGATGGAGGTGGTGTGCTTGTAGGTGGCAATGATTTTCAACACCTGCTTAGCCTTCTCCAGAGGCACCTCCTGAGTGTCCCTGGAGTTGGTCACTGGTTTGTTCTCGTTGTTCTCTAGGCGGATGTGCCGCAGTTGGCTGTTGGGAACGTCCTTCACAAAAATCCACCTGACATCAAAGCGTCCCTTCCACTTGTCCTGGGACCACACACCCGCACACGTGTTGTAGTCCACAGCAGATTTCATCTCTGCTACTCCGCAGAAGTGACCACTACCGTTGACACTGAAGAGTAAGTACACGGGGCCCTTCCCATTGAGGGAGCGATAGGCAGCATCCAGTCTCTTGTTGCCGTGCTCCGTGCTGCACCAGATGTTGTATTTAATGGAGCGGTGGATATCGTCCTCCGAGTAACTCTTAATGATGAAAACCCGGCCGTGTTTCGGGTTCCAGTCAAAATCCTTGGGGTTGTAGTTGTTGATGGACCTCAACTTCTCCAAAACGGGGTGAGGTTCCGAAGGAGCAGAACCAGCCGTGGCCTGAGCCTGCCCCACACCGTTCCCATCCACCCCGTTCTGACCAAAGCCACTGCCCCTGTTCCGAGGGGCAACCCAGCGGGTGGGCTGAGCCGCCGGCACCGGCACCGGCAGCTGAGGCTGCGGCACGGGCAGGGGCTGGGGCTGCTGCCCACTGCAGGCCGGTGCCACTGGGGGGCTGGGGGTGATCTGCTGCCCCCCAGGCTGGGGGGAGGCCTGGGCTGGCTGCTGCGCCATGTTCGGCACTAAGGCTTGTGCTGGGGCTTTTGCCACCGAGCCTTTGTTATCCCAAGTCCCAATATCCATGTTGTGTTTTATTGGAGGCGGTGGGAGGCTTGAGCCAGCAATGCCGTTCTTGGTCTTCAGCTTGGGCTGCTGCTTAGCCGGTTTGCTGGCAATGTCAGCCCAGGAGGTTGGCTTTGGAGGAGCGATAGTAGCTGGAGGCAGAGCACTGGATGCCACGATATTACTGGCGATAGATCCACTCCCAACAGCGGAGCCGACGACTTTGGGAACGCTGCTGGTGACGTCGGTGCTGCCCAGTTTCAGAGCTGCCATCCCCTGGTCGATGGTGTTCATGCCAGGAGCCTTGTTGAGAGGCTCATTAGCAAAAGCTGACTGCCCATCGATCATGGCCCCCCCCAGCGAGCTCGGGGCATAGGCGTAATTGCTGCTATAGCCAGAGCTTTGAGTGGATTGTCCCTGAGAACTGTTATTCCCCCAAGCGGAAAAGTCAATCCCACTTGGAAAGAAGTTAAAGCCATGCTGCCCAAGAAAGGGAGTGCTGCCAAGAGCCCCTGGCTGCCCAAACATCGCGTCTGGGAGGAAGTGGGGCTCCCCATTGCTCAGCTGTCCGTACGAGGTTAGGTAGGGCATGGGTGGATCACCCCCTGTAGACCAGGCAGCTTCGCCTAAGGAGTAGGAGAATCCGATGGAAGGACTGTAGTAGTTTGGTAAGTAGGAATCTGACATTGCAGTGTAGGCATTATTCTGGAAAGGAAAAAGAAACATCATACAGCAAGCGATAAGCACTGAATGGTGAGAACTGAGCTGAAGAAACATGAATAAAAATCAGCTTGGACTTCTTGTGCCCCACCTCTGCCTACCGTAGGGCCCGGCCTTGAAGTACCTCCTGTGTTAGAAGTGCTCTACAAACTGTTTCATTGCCAAAAAACCTTACACACAAAGGCTCAGCAAGCTTCCCAGTGCTGAGATGGGAGCGCTCCGTGCTCCTGGCTCCATGATCTTACAGGTCTTTTCCAACCTAAATGATTCAACGTGGGACATGGACACAGGCTCAAGCAATAAACCCAGTATCTTCCTATCTTCTACTTCTTGTAGCTACTACCAAAGAGGGCTTTTCTTGCCCATGCAGTGTACTTATCAGCCCTTACTCTGATGTTTGAGGGAAGGTTTGGGACAAGGATGCAGATACAAGTGGAATATGGAGGGAAAAGGTGAGTAGAAGCATGCTGCCAAAGCAAGGATTGTGCCTAATAACTGGTGACCAATGAATACAGCATTACCCCCACACTTTAAAGTTTCAGAGCTCCTAATAACCCAAGAACTTGCAAACAAACAGGGATTTCAACACACTACTCCAGTGCTGCAGGCAGAAACACCTGGGAATGGGGAGGAATCAACAGGGTTTCACTAGGAAGACAGTGACAGCAGCAGCACATGCATGCAGGCTCCAGATCCAGAGAGTGAAGGGAAAAGAGCTGCTCCATGCCTCGATCTCCTTTTTAATACCCTAACAGCCTTGAGGTTAGGAAACCAAATGCCTCATTTTACAAAGAGGGAACTCTCAGCCATCAGAAAGATTTGCTTCCATGAAACCCATGTGTCATGGGTTTCCCTCCGGGGAGCACTCAGAGCCATGCTAATGGCCATTCCCATCCCAGAACTTGGAGCTGGGAGCAGCCAGCTCAATGCAGAGGAGATGAGAGGCAGGTTTGGCTCCTAGTTAAAAGCTCAGCTCACAGCAGGCACTGCTCCAGTTCTCTTTGAGTCATGCTTTCATGTGCCAAGCACAGCTCCTTGTCCTGTCGCTGCAGTCCCTGATGAAAAGCCCCTCTCCAGCATCCTTGTAGCCCCCTTCAGACACTGGAAACTGCTCTGAGGTCTCCACGCAGCTTCTCTTCTCCAGGCTGAACAGCCCCAATGTTCTCAGCCCATCTCCATACAGGAGCTGCTCCAGCCCCTGAGCATCCTCGTGGCCTTCTCTGGGCTTGCTCCAACAGCTCCATGTCCTGATGCTGAGGACACCAGAACTGCAGACAGTGCTCCAAGCAGGGTCTCACAAGAGCAAAGGGAAATGAAGGGCAAGCAACTGGTTTGGGGCTAACTCAGCCCTCACTTCACAACAATGAACAGAAATTATTTCGTGTGGTCAGAGACAAGGTTGGTCTGGTCACAAAACACACCAAAAAGGTTTCTATGGTACCTGAATAAACCAAAACTCAAGAGAGACTCTCTCCACATCTTCCATTCTCCCAAAGAAGGAGCTCCAAAAGCAAGTTAACAGCAAACTCCATCTGATCCAGAGCACAGCTTTACTAAGCAAGGATCTCAGACCTGTTAAACCCAAACTGATGGCAAATCTTTAGGACTCAATGTATCCAAAAGCATAACTACTGATCCTGACTCATGTGTAACAAGCAAAGTCTCTTCATAAGACAACTCTTCAATTCAAGGCCAGGTTGGAGCAAGCTGCTCTAGTGAAAGGTGTCCCCGCCCATGGAAGGGGGTTGGAGCTGGATGAGCTTTAAGGTCCCTTCTAACACAAACCAGGCTGGGATTCTATGGTTCAATTATAAGGGTAACAATATACTCTCCTGAAAATTAGCTTAATGACCACAGACACATTGGCCCATAGCTAAACCCCAAGGCCAGCAGGCAGAGTAGCTGTTTCCTCTCCACAGGCTTCTCCCTCAAACCTTATCAGTGTCAGATTAAACTTTCTCCCCTTGTTAGAAAAGGTTTAGAGGTGACATGTTTAACTTGATGAGGTGCTTTAACACAGCATTCATCAAGCTACTACCTGTAGAGTGCTCACCAGTGAGGCTCAGGTAAGGATGGAGCAGTGTTGTTAACCAAGAACAGTGCCAAGTCACTTAAATCTCCTTAACTCATCTGAAATCAGGCTCCTGCTGCTCATTACCTGACTTGCAGAGCTACCCCCTGCTATGGGACACCCCACCTTGCTCTGCTGCCCTGCAACTGAGGGTTACTGCTCAGCATGACAATAAAGCCATTCTCTCCAATGACTAAGACTCTTCAGACAGTTATTTCCTCAAATGCCCTGTTCTTCTCCACCTCAGACCAGAAGCAGACTCCTTGCTGCTGCTGAGCTTGCACTTAGCGTGTATCTGAGCTGCCAGATACACAGTAACTTCATTCCCCAGTAACAGTCACACCTGGGACAGCAGCTCCAGCCAGGAAACTTCACCAAGTTGTTACCTCCTGCTTCTGTGAGAGGAGCTTCCGGAGCTGCTCCTGTTACTCTGTGGCACTGGGCTGCACTGCACTCCTTTCTCAGAGCTCCAACTGTAACACCCTTTCCCATCTCCAGAAAAAGCCCTCTCCAGATTGACCCTGGGGATTTCTTTGCTATTATCCTGAGTGTCAAAGCACAGATGAGATCCAACAGAGCATGGCAAGAATCCCACACTGGTTTGGGTTGAAAGGACCTTAAAGCTCATCCAATTCCAAGGGCAGGGACACCTTACACTGGAGCAGCTTGCTCCAAGCCCCTGTGTCCAACCTGGCCTTGAACACTGCCAGGGATGGGGCAGCCACAGCTTCTCTGGGCACCCTGTGCCAGCGCCTCAGCACCCTCATAGTAAAGAGCTTGAGATAAAGTCACCCTAAAGCTCCTTTCACTGTTCACATGATGGTTTAACCTCGCTCCTGCTGTATTCCTAAAGCAGCTCCTCTGTGGGTCATGCTCCCATTATCTCCCAAGTTTTAAACCATGTTTCTACCACTGTGACACAAGCAAAAGAGAAACTGAACCATCAGAAGTTCTTCATCATCCATACAAAATAGGGCAAACCACTTTGTTTCCAACACTGTGATCACCTCCATTCTCTTTAGCAGACTGAAGTAAAACTACACTTGGCAGGAAATACATCTCCACATGCAGAAGGAAGCTGGAATGGCAAAACCTCACCATGAAATAACAGCCACTGGGGAAGCAGGTGCTTTGACTGATGGTTTGAGAAAGTGACCACACTCTCCCACCTTATTCAGGTGAACTTAAGCTTTTCCATTGAGGGAGCTGAATGCAGGGAGTTATCTGAATGAATCCTGAAGACTGTGAAGAACTGACAGGTTCTTAAAGACTTTGGAGGTTCATTTCTTCAGCACAAAAGAGGGAAAACCCTTGTGGAACAGCTCCTTTTGACTAATCACAAGTGGAGAGGGAAGCAGAGCCAAAGGGAATGAAGTATCTCCACCACTCACTTGTCCCAACTCATCAGCTGAACTCCATCTGCTCTGGGTCACTCTCCAATGCTCAGTGAGAGAAACAAGCAGACCCCAGTTAACAGCAAAGCAGATCTTGACCCAAAGTGAAAGGAAAAGGAGCTGCAAGTGCTTTTCAGGAGCTGTTCTAACTAACAGGCCTCAAGAAGACCATTATCCCATGTAGGGTTTTGGTGTCAAACAAGAGAAGACCCTTTTGGTCCACCTGGAGAGAGAGCCTTGAACCCATCCTCCCAAAGCCCCTGGAGCACAAGTGCAGTGCAGGAAGTGATTCTACAACAGGGGTTGTACATGAGCTCACACAGTGCGAAGACCCAGAAGGCAGCAAGGAACAGAGCTAAAAGTGAAAGAGCATAAAGAGCAACAACCAAAACGCAGGAGGGAACCAAGGCCACACCAGCAGGACTGAAAGAGCAGCTTTAAGGCGGTTACACTAAAGAAGGGAGCTGAATACTGCCTGCACCCTCAAACTGCTGCTAAACCCTTTATCACTCATCCAGCACAACCAAGTGCTTTCTGCATGGAGAAATGCATGGATAAAGCAGCACAGCATGGTCAGGAAGCTGCCAACTACCCGTGGAGATGGAGAAACACAGGGATGCCAAACACATGTAAAAAGCAGCATATACATGGTCAGAAAACTGCCAAATATCCACGGAGATGGAGAAACACAGGGATGCCAACCAAACACATGCATGCCAACCAAACATATGCGTAAAGCAGCATATACGTGGTCAGGAAGCTGCCAAACACCACATGCAGCCCATAGAGATGGAGAAACACGAGGATACCAACCAAACACACATATAGAGCAGCATATACATGGACGGAAGCTGCCAAACACCAAATACAACCCATGGAGATGGGGAAACGCGGGGATATCAACCCAAGCCGACCCTCAGCGCTCGCTGGTACTCACCGGCCGCGCCTGGGGGCTCAGGTAGGGCTCGAAGTCATCATCATTCAACCCATCCTTCTGGTGCACGGCTCCGTTTTGCACTGGGGACCAGACGCAGCGCGTTATCCGATGAGCCCAAAGCACTCATACTCACACACACTCCCCCATCCCCACCGCCTCCCCATGCTCTCACCTTTGCTGCTTTGCCCCTTGGGTCTCTGCAGGGAAGGAGAGAACAGAGAGCGGTGAGTGCCGGCGCCGCGCACAATGGAGCCGCGGCCCTGAAGGGAAGGGGAAGGGGGGGAAGGCCGCGGCCCTGCGCTAGGCCGCAAAGCCGCGAGCTCGCCTAGCGGGCCCGGCGCGGCTCACTACCTGCTCCAGGAGGCTGCTGGCCGACATGGCTCCGCGGCGGGGCGGGGCGGCGGCGGCTTTGTCCGGGCTCGGTACCGACGGAGCTGGCTTTGAGGCTGGCTTTAGGCGGACTATGCGGTGTGGAACCCCCGCGGTGGGTGTCGACGCTCTAGGCCGCCGCCCGCCCCCTCTCTCGTCTGCTCTAGCCCCAGCCGTGCCTATGGGCCCCGCCGCACGCGCTCCCCGCGCTCCCAGGCACAATGGCGGGAGGGGGGGGGAGCGGAGCGGTGCATGGTGGGATGGAGGAGGACTTAAGTGAGCAGCGCCCCCTCTCGGCGCTCGGGCGCGCGGGGGGTGTGGTGTGTGAGGTCGCTCTTAAAGGGCCAGGCACCCATATTGGCTGCACCCCCCCAAGCCCTGCTCTGTTACACCCCCATATTACAGGTTCCATCCCCATGCTCAGGGGACCTGGGAACCATGGCACATCCAAAAGGAAGATGGAAAGAAGCAAAGCCAAGAGTAGGGAGCAGGGAAGAGCCTGCTGTATGCGTGGAATGGCAAAGGGTGGCCCCAGAAGGACCTTGTCCCCCCCTAATCAAAGGAGAAGAATGGGGTGAAGGCAGTTGGATATGGTGGTGGTGGATCCCTGATCCCAAATCCATGAGATCAGCTCCTGCAGATGTCCCTCCATGGGCAGCATCACCCCAAAGCTGCAGGTAGAGGGTCCCCATCCTGCTCTGAGGGGCTGGAGCTGAGGCCCCCTTCACCTACCCCTGCACAAACCACTCAAACCTGGGTCCAGTTTTCCAGTTTTCCTTTTTAATCCAAAAAAATAGGCAAACACATCTTCCTTCCGTCCTCCCCCCTCCCCCGCCTATGGTGTGTTCTTTAATAGTTCCAGGCAAGCGGCTCCCCCTCCTTCAGCCTTCCCAAACCTCTTTCCCCTCTTCCCACCATGGCAGAACCCAAAGGGACCCCGGCCTCGGGGCAAAATCCACCTAAAGCAGAGGGAAAACCCCGTTATTCCAGCCCTGTGCTGGTTCTAATCCTGCACAGGGATTATAGGAAGGAAAAGAAAGGAAAAAGCCCAAATGAAACCCACCCAACAAGTAGCGACAAGCACGGAGCAGCCCCAGCACACAGTGCAAATGGGAGCCGTCCCGATCCGGAGCCTAGTGTTCCCGGGATAGCGACAGCACAACATGCTTTGTACATCCCATAATGTCCCTGTGGTGCGGAGCAGCGAAGGGAAAAGGGGAATTGGAGGGGTTCAAGCTTGAGTTGATCGATTGAGCCTTAATGCAAAAGGCTGAAGGGATGGTGGTGAGCGGCACCGAGGGAAAGGGATGAGGGGAAAAGTGCTGTGGGACTGGGATCCAGGGAGACAGACAGAAGGTCCTGGGGCTTTGCAGCTGGGAAATGTGGACAAGGATCATGGACTAATGATGGGAAAGAGCAAACAAATCCAAACCAATGGAGCTATAAACGCAACCTGTGTGGAGGGGAGAGTGAGGACAGTGACACCAGAGCCACTGCCACCCCCCTAGAGCACGGATAATAACATTAACAATAATATAATAATAATAATAATAATAGCAATAAAAAATTCCCAGTTGAGGTGAGAGTGACAAGTCCGAGAGAATCCCCTTCCCAGGGGGAAAACTCCAAATGAGGTACCTGGTCCACCCCAAAGCTGTGTCCCCTTCCACAGTCACACCAAGGCTTGGTGTCCCTCCGGGCCCAGTGTCCAGTTCCTCCCGGCTGGGCTGGTGAGCAGGGATGCAGTCTCTCCAGGACCCTGCAAACAGGGGGTGTTGTTCAGTGCTCCACAGAGCCAGGTCTCCTGTGTTCCTCCAGCTTTTTTGTGTTTAAACCCCCCCAAATAAGAGCTATCTCTATTCTATACAGGACAATGAAACAGCCATGGAAACAAATGGGGTGGCTGGAAAAGATGCTTCACCAAATAAAGCTTCAAATGAAACCAAATTCCCCAACTCTTTCCCCAAACTGAAGCTCATTTTTCCCCACTTTTAGTCCTCCAAGACCACAATCTCCACGTTATGGACCTGGTGCTGATGCTCCTCCCCGTCTCCCACCACTTTCTCCTCAGTCCTCAGCTCCGTCTCCAGGATCACCGCTTTCCCCTCCGCCTCCTCCGCATCAGCTTCAGGATCAGGCGCCGGGTCAATCTCTATGATGGTCTGCCCATCCTCGGAGGTGCCCTCAACAGCTTGGATGGTGGAGGTGAGCCCAGACTCCATGGCCACCAGCTCCACGGGGTTGACCACAGTGGCCACGTTGGCCAGGGCCCCGCTGTCCTGCATGGCTGCCGAGCTGAGCAGCGCCAGGCTGGAGGACGGGTGGAGGGTGACGGTGTCGGAGGAGCTGGTCTTGGAGGAGGACACCACGGTGGCATAGCGGAAGAGCTGGGAGCCGGAAGGCAAGGTGTGAACAGTCACCGGGCTGGAGCCTTGGCTGATGGTGGCCACTGGGATGTTCCCGACGGAGAACTGCTGTCCGACGGGTGCGATGGCGATGGGCGAGATGACGGTGAACTGGGGCTGCTGGATAGGGGTGGAAGGGCTGAGGACGGTGGCGGAGGCCGGGCGCTGCAAGCGGGGTCTCTTGGGGGGCTTGGGAGCGCTGACGGGCATCAGCACCACGTTCTGGATGGTTTGGGACTTCGCCTTCTGGTCCTTGGCCAGTTTCTTCTGCTCTTCCAGCTGCCGCTCCAGGTCTGCAGAGAGAACACAACCAAGCATCACACCCCATGTTTGTGACCAGAGGGCTCCTACCCATCTCAATGCTTCACTCAAGTCAAAGTGCATCAAAGGAAAAGGTGACCAGATTCTCCTGAGCTGCTTTTGCAGCCGATAGGGAACAAGCAGTCATAGAATCATAGAATAGTTAGCGTTGGAAAGGAGCTTAAAATCATCCAGTTCCAACCCCTGCCATGGGCAGGGACACCTCACACTAAACCAGGTCACCCAAGGCTCTGTCCAACCTGGCCTTGAACACTGCCAGGGATGGAGCATTCACAGCCTCCCTGGGCAACCCATTCCAGGGCCTCACCACCCTAACAGGAAAGAACTTCCTCCTTATATCCAATCTAAACTTCCCCTGTTTCAGTTTGAACCCATAATGCCCTGTGTTGGTTGTCTCCTCCTCCTGGGTATTTCTGCTCCAAGCCAGACAAGGGAGAGTGGGTAGGAAGCAGCAGGAACTGCTTCCCGAGCTTGGCTGGATGCCCTTCCCAGGATCCAGGCACTGGGGACAGGGAACAGGACTGTCTGCATCAGAAACCTTCTCCCTCAACCCCTGTGTGTGTGAACATGGGGAGTCAGGAGTAACCTGGTTATCTCAGTTATCCAGGGCAGTAGGGGACTGGGACATCCCAGATAAGAACAGATCCTACACGACACAGTGAGCAGCTCTGGGGAATCCAGGTCAGGTCATTGGCTTCAGCTCAGGGGAAGCTGTGCAGGACACACGATAGCTCCAGGCCAAGGTGAGCAGGCAGCTCAGCACCCAGAGCAGCTCAGAGCTTCAGCACCCATTGCCTGATGCTGGTGGGATCTGACTCGCACCCTCAGCACCCTGCCTAGCACCACAGACTGGGCTGTCAAAACCCCAAGCAACTGCTCACTGTGAGGTAAGGGAGAGGGGAAATTCCACTCGAGCCCTAGGATGGAGAGGGATCAGGATGGGTTTGTTTCAGGGCAGCATGTGTTGAAAAGAACCCAACTATGGTTCATTTAGAGGGTATATGGAAGGAAATCAGCTCCCCAGAGCAGCAGCAGGGGGAGAAGCCTTTCCCAGGCACTGACTGTACCTGCCAGAGTGTAAAGAAACTGCTCTTCTCCTTGCTCTGTCTGGTTTTTTCTGTTGTCCAGAACCTTCTTGACTGTGTCCATCAGGCCAAATGTGTGGGCAACGTTGTTCAGGACTGCAGCATCTGCAAGGGAAGTGCATGGGACGATTGTCGAGACCCACAAGAAATGCCTGCATCACACCAAAAACCTGCTGCTGCTTCACAAACAACTCCCTCTGCTCTTCCACAAGACCACACCACAAAGTCAGACCCAGCTCCCTCATCCCTCTGACATCCCAGACTTCAGTAACCCCATTCCCATGTTAAAGACCCAGAGATCTGTCACCCAAGCAGCTCAAAACTGCTGCAAATGAAAGCACCAGTTGCAATCCCAGAGATGCACACGAGCTCTCCACCTCCAAACCATCCCCCCGTACATTGACAGCGGCATTGACACACCAGCTGCACTGACAGCTCTACAGAGTTTCTATTCGAATCCACTGACTTCAATCACTCCCAGCTTCACAAAGCTCCCCTTGACACAAAGATTTGCCAGCCCAAAGCTAACTTAGGAAAGATATCAAATAACCCTGCCTAAAATGAAGGCTGGGGCTTTGTGGACATTCTCCCAGCAAGAGGTGCCCAAAGCCTGAGCTCATAGGGGTTGAACTGGATTAGGGAGCTGAGCTGAGTTCAAAATAACCCTAAAAAGAGGAGTTATTTTTAACCCAGATCACTTCCCTCCTCTGGTTCAGCCCCAAAACCAGATGCTCTGACACAAGTGAGGGGGCAGGACCTGTTGTAGCCTGCACTGAGAAGTGCACAGAGAACTGTTGGGACAGCTCTGGTCCAAGGGGTAGACCCCTCTCACTTCATCTTTTGACTGCAGCTGCCCTTTAAAGCATCCTTCCCCAGGGCAGAGGCAGAGGCTGTGGCTCACCACCTACCTGTCATCTGGAAAGGAGACTGACCCAGCCTCTGCTGGACACCTCTTAAGACTTCTTCTATCTCCTTCTGGATGTTGCACACAACCTCTTCCATCAGCCCCACATCAGCTATTCCTTTCCAGAACATCAGCGTGTCCTCTGGCACAAGGAGAGGAGGGAAAAAGAAGTCAAACATGAACAAGCACTTGCTGGTTTCCCCCACTTAAACCACTCAGGCAAGAGTAAATGTGTAAAACAAGCTATAATTTGGGCATTGGGGTGGGTGGATACGGCATGCCAACCCCCCCCGAATGAGTCCCACCCTGCCTGCAGCAGTGAGGAGATCCAGTTGGGAAACACTGGGACAAGCCAAGGGGCTGGGAGACAGCTCTGGCATTGCCTCAGCTCTCCGGATTGTCAGGATTTCAGCTTCTTACAGGCCAGAAGAGGGGAAGGAAACAGCTGAGAAGCAGCCTGAGCTCACCCGAGATCTCGTCCGTGTCCTTTTTCATGCCTTCCTCAGTGGCCATGGTGACAGCAGCCGTCAGAGCTGAGTTCCACTCGATGCCCTCCTCCATGCTCTCTTCTGACAGTGCGATCTGGGTGATGCTCCCTGCCAGACAGGAGGTATCAGCTCCCTCTGCAGCCCCTGCGGGGCCAGCCCTGGGCCCTGCTTTATTTTCCATCCCCCTCAGCCCCTCAGATGACAGGGTCAGGGGCTGAGGTCCTTTATAGAAGGGAAACAGAGCTGACTCTATCCTGTTTCTAGGTCAAATCTGGGACTAAGTCAATGTGCAGCCACTTCAGGGTTTCACCATGGTGCTTTCCAGGAGGCTCTCCTTAGCCTATGGATGACTTTGCCACCTCACTCACCCAGGGCCTTACAGAGCTGTACCTTGCCCAGCTAAATGATGTGGTACAACTGGGAGTAGTTCTTCCCCCTTAACCTCAGCAAAGAGATCACTTTCTGTTCAGAAGCATGGGATTCACTGGGAATTTGCAGTTGGAATCATGGAATCCCAGGCTGGTTTGTGTTGGAAGGGACCTTAAATCTCATCCAGTTCCAGACCCCTGCCATGGGCAGGGACCCCTTCCACTGGAGCAGCTTGCTCCAAGGCCCTGTGTCCAACCTGGCCTTGAGTATTGCCAGGGATGCTGGGACTGGTGGGGGGGTTGAACCTGATTTGATGAGTCCAGGGAGGAAGAGGAGTGCCAGGGACACTGCCATGGCACTGAGTGGTCTCCTACCATCAGCTGATGTAGGGGTCTGCACCACGCTCTGCTGCCCCGGCACTGGTGCTCTGGCGCTGCTGATGAGGAGATCGAACTTGGTGCTTCTGCAAGTGTTGGTGCACACTTTGTCGTGCTGGTAGAAGTCAATCTGCCCCGAGTCCATCATCTTCCTGTGCAGGGAGGGGGGAAGAGAACCAAGCTCAGCTCAAATCTCAGACTAAAGGGAGTATTCCACATAGGAGTGCTACGGAGGCCATGAGAAGTAGTGCAGAGCTTTCAAATGGCAAATACAAGCCACCCCCAGCTTCACAGGCAGGGTTCCAGCCCTGTTTCACCCCTCACAGGTCCCCCAGGTAAGGGTGGTTCTGTCCAGGGGGAGGAATGGTGGCCTTGAACCACAGACCAAGGCTCTCTGCAAGCTCCAGCCAAGTAATGTGAGGTTCCAGGAGTGCTCCTGATGCAGACAAGTGCTGCTCAGGACCTGCAGTGATGGAAGCAGAGCTGGACACAGTGCTCAGCAAACGAAATACCTCAGCATGATGCCTCCGAGGCGGATGGCTCTCTTCCAGTCCTTCAGGGTAGACTTCCCAGCCAGGTGGACAAAGTGCTTTGGGCTGATGAGTTGGTCATTGAACTGCCAAGGAGACAAGCAAAGAGGGTAACATCACTTTGGAAGTGTGGAATGGAGCACCCAGCACAGCCATCCACAAGTCACCTAACCCCCAACTTCCACCCAGGAAGAGGAGCTGCTTCTCACACCCCTCCCAGCTCCCACCCCCTTGCCACTGCAATGCTTCTAACTCCGGACTGGATCTGGAACCATCGGCACTGGAACCAGACAGCTCTACCTCAGAAGAGCCCTGAAGGCTTTCCTAGGAAGCATGAACCAAACCATCTCCTTCTGGGAATATGGACTAAGGGAGACTCCTGTTCCACCGAGCAGTCCAGCAACATCTGCCTGGCACAGGCATTCACTTGGCTGTCCTATCCTGCTCCAGGAACTAAGAGGGCTCCTGTTGAGCCTCAGCAGCTCCCACTGCGGACTCAGCCTTGGCTGTTCTATCAGCACTCAGAACCCTGCATGCTGCAAAGCCACTCAGTTCCAAGGCAGGGCTCATAAGGAAGTCCTGCAGAGCTCAAGCCTCCAGAGCTTGAGAGCAGCGAAGGAACCCACTGCAAAGCTCCCTCACCTTCACACACTTGACATTAATCCCTGGGCAGACAAACTTCTTCCAGAGCAGGATGGCTTTGCTCTCCCCGCACGTGATGGGGTAGGCGATCTCAATCTCCTCATTCGCCTCGATGCTGCTGGGGTCTAAGGGAGGAGGAAGGGGGGAAAATGAAAGTATCCACCCAAGAGGATTCAGTCCCATGAGGTGAGAGCTGAAAGCTCACAGGAGGCACTCAGGGAACCAAAAGAAGGGCAGATCCCTCATCAGGATCAGTCCTCTCTTGGTCTTCTCCAGTCACTAACAGCAACTGGCATGTGTTTTTTCATCTAGCACCGCTCCAAAGGCAGCTCATCTATCAGGACAAGGGGAGATGTGTCAGGGAGAACAGTCCTTGTGGAAACAAAACGCTTTCAAATGGGAAGCTCAGACTTCTCTGGTCTCTCTTTAGCAGCAGGAACAGCTGTTTCCTGCTAATACATTCTCTTCACACGCTGAAAGACTCACACCCCACACAGGAAGCAGAAGAGTAGTCAAGGTCTAGTGACAGCACCTAATACTAGGAGTCTTTTCCCACTCACTCCCTGAGATAGCGGGGAGCACTTGGAACCAGTGAGCTCGGCTCTTCCAAACATCCAACCCCAAGTGCCAGGCTGTTCCTTCAGCACAGAGCCAGCAAGCAGAGTGTGATGCTGCGCTCAGCGCAGACACAACCACCATCCTCCTCACCAGCATTCCTGCCTGCCAGCAGCCAGAGTGAAATCTCGGCTCCCCTGGACCCCCTGGGAGCCCTTACCATTCATTGCAGGAGAGCCAGGAGCTCACTTCCAGGACTTTGAGACCATGCAGTAACAGCAGACTCTTATTCCAGGCTATGCCCAGACCCTGCACCCACATCCATGCCTGGGAAACAGCATCTGCAGGGGCAGAGCCAGAAGGAAGCCCGACGAACTGGAGCCACCAGCCCTGCAGAGGAGGGGATTCTGCCCATGCCAAGCAGGAACTCACCGATCCCTTCTTCTAGCTTGTGGATGGTGTGGGTTTCGACAGCCACCACAGCAGCACTGGCCTCGGAGCTCTCCTGGTAAATCCTGGTGGAAAAAGCAGGGATCCAGGAACAAACGATGGATTCAGCTTCACAACACAGGGCTACACATTCCCACCACTGCTTCCTTGCCTGTGCTCCAGGGAGGTGGATTGTTTGATCCACTTCCACAATGAGAATCCCAAGGCCTGGGACCGGCAGAGGTGTTCCCAGCCCTGGCACCCCACCCTCCCCACTGCCAGTGCCATGAAGCAGCTCTGCAGTGGTGCTTCCTGGTGCCTTCTCCTCCCATTGTGGACACAGGCAGGAGGAAGCAGAGCGGAATGTCCCAGGATTTCCCCTCCCAGCCCTGTGTGACACTGCAGCACCCGTGGGCACGCAGAGGAGTCGCTGCCATGCCTACATGTGGCTATTGTCCACCTGGAGCATCAAATGTACACCACGACTGTTATGAGCCTGGTGGGAGCCGCTTCTCTGCAGCAGCAGCCCAGCTACCCCCGAATTCCCTCCAACATCCCAGTTTTGTTGTATTTGAGAGGATTATCTTTGGGAATGCTGCCACGGATGCATATATGGGTCTGGCTATACATCCAGCAGCTGCAGTGTGGCAAAACCCCATCCTGGGCTGGAGAGGGAAGAGGGAGAGCAGGAGGATGCGTGGCCAAGGCAGCACCACCAGCACCTCTCCGCTTCCCTGCTTCCACAAGTGCTTCCACATTATCCCACAGGACAACTGCAGTGCTCAGAGGCCCCATGGCAGCGACACACACCAAGGCCTTTGGGGTCTTTCTCTTTGCACAAAACCAACACAGATCTGGAAACCACAGCACTGGTGGCTCCCCCTGGCACAGAATTCCATTGGGATCCCCCTGATCCCACCCGGTACCTCCCAGAAGAGCCGACTCACCCTTGCTGCACCGGCTGGAGCTGCAGGATCACCTGGGTTTTGGTATCCTCCGGGTTCTCCCCTTCGTTGCCGTCACTTGGTACAACCACCACATCACCCACAGGGACGCTCACTTCGGCATTCGCCATCTCTCACATGAAGGCTGCGGTGCTGCAAGGGGGGGCAAAGCAGAGGCTGTGTGTGTGTGGGGAGAGGGGTATGGTCCATGAATCCACGGACATCACCGGGCACTGCGGATCCAGCACCTGGTGTGCTGGGATTCCTCCTCCCCGTCACCATGGGGATGTCCAACAGAGAGAGGCAGAGCCCCTGTCCCCATCCCACCTGCACAGTGGGGTTGGAGAGAGCACCACATGCTTCCCAAGGTGGGATCCAACCGCCCAAGGGATGCTCTGATCCCTCGCTGCCCCAGAGGGGAGCCGCTATTGCCTTGGATCCAACCGCCCTTGAGATGCTCCAATCCCACACTACTGGGATCAGCCCAATGCAGATGCTCTGCCCCCAAGGTGGAACCCTTGCATCCAACCATCCTTGGGATGCTCCAATCCCTCACTACCGGGATCAGCCCAGTGCTGATGCTCTGACCCCAAGGTGGGATCCTTGGATCCAACCGCCCCTGGGATGCTCCGATCCTTCACTGCCCCACAGGAGAGCCGCTACTGCCTTGGATCCAGCCGCCCTTGGGATGCTCCGATCCCTCGCTACCGGGATCAGCCCAGGGCGGATGCTCTGCCCCCACAGTGGCACCCTTGGATCCAGCCTCCCCTCGCTACCGGGATCAGCCCGGAGCTGCCGCTCTGCCCCACAGCGGCCCCGCTATTCCCGGTGGGAGCCGCGCTCCCCGGGGCTGATCCCGGTTCTGGACCCCTCCCCCATAGAGCTCGGGGCCTCACTTGGTGCCACCCGCGCCTCAGCACAACCGGTACCGGGACCTCCCCCCCCCCCGGGATCGGACTCCCTTCCCCCTCCCCTCCTCACACCGGGGTCCCGATCCCCCCCCTCCCCCCCCGGGCGGCGCGCGGCGGGGCGGGGCCGCCCGGGGGGGAGGGGGCGTGGCCTCCCCGTCACCCCCCCCTCCCCCCCCCCCCCCGCACGGCGGCGGCGGCGGCACGTACAGCGGCGCGCGCTGGGGCGCCCCCTCCCCTCCCTTACCCCGTCCCTCCCTCCCTCCCCGCTCCGCCCCGCCGCCGCTTGACCCCTCCCGGCTCCCGTAGCGCGGCGGCCCCCTTACCGTCACCGAGCGGCCGCGTCTGGGGGGGGGGAGAGAGGAGGAGGGAAGCGGGCCCGGCAGCAACGCGCATGCGCAGGAGCCGCCGCGGCCTCAGCCGCCAGCACTTCCGGCCGCCGCCTGCCGAAAAGTGGGGGGGGTGAAACGGTGCCGCACTGCCCTCTAATGGCGGACGGCGGGACCGCACCCGGCACACGAATGAGGGCCGCAGGGAGGAGGGAGGGGTCTGGTCACCGGAGTAGTGCTCCCCGGTACCGGGCACTCATCGCACCCCAGCCGGTGTTACCGGGACCCCTGGTCGAGAGCCCGCTGTGAGGCAGTTGATTGAGAGGGCGGCTGACGAATGGCGTGGCGGGGCAGGGCGGTGGTAGCCAATGGGAGAGGCGGGGCCGGGCATCGGCAGCCAATGGGAGCAGTGGGGCGGGGCTGCGGGGTCCCGGTGGCGGCGGAGCGGGAGGAGGAGGATGGCGCTGGCCATGGCGCTGCTCCGCCGCTGCCTCCTGCTCGGGCCGCTGGGGCTGCGCACGGCCGGCGGGCAGCACGGTGAGTGCCGCTCCCACCGGCTCCCCTTCACCCGCAGGGATGGGGCAGGGTCGGGAACGGGATGGGTGCGGGACGGGCTCCTCTCTGTGAGCGCGATGGGCTCCGCTGTACCGAGCCCACACCGGGACCCCGCGGTCCGCCCTCCCCGGTACCGACACGGGATGGGCTTCTCACTGCGACCGCACCGAGGTCGGACCACGGTACCCATCCCAGACCGGGACCACGCCAGGACGGGTTCTCCGCCGTCCACCGCCGGACGGGACGAGCTCCCCGCTCCATCACTCCCTGACACCCGGTGCCGCGGCTCCTGCCCCGGTCCTCCTGTCCCACCGTGATCCCGGGGGTCCCGGCGTTGGCTCCATACACCCTGGAGGAGCGGGATCCCGGAGGCTGGGCTCTGCCGGGTTGCCGGGGAGAGGCGGACAGCGGGCTCCGTCCCGGGGATGCTCGCACCGGGAATGCTCCGAAGGGACATTCAAACCAAGGGATTTCCTCATCCCGAAACCTCATCCCCAAAACCCGTCCCCGACTCATCCGGGACCGGCCGAAACGTGGGCACCAGCGACGGGAACCCGAGGCACGGGGCAGGACCCCGCTGTGTCCCGTGCGTGTGTTACGGGAGCGGGTTCCAGTGCGTCCCAAAGGCGGTGGTGGACAAGGGGGGAGCTCTCCCGGGGCATGGAGCGTGCTTCCCGGAGCATCGCCCTGTTGTGTCTTTCCTGCATCCTGTGGGAAGACAAACAAACCCCTGGCAAAGGCTGATCCCAGCCGCTGCGCGCCCTCATCCAGCGGGAAAAGCCACTTACCCCGTTCTTTTTGGCAGTCGGTTTTATTTCGGCGGGGTGGGGGGATGTTCCTGTGGCTTTTGTCACTCCCAGCCCCTTGGTAAGATCTCTGGAGCCGCAGCTCCCGGGTTATTGCTGCCATTCCCGCCTGGCATGTGCCAGCTGTGAGCAGGATGCTTTCCTTTCCTGGGATGTGTCCCCACCAACACGGGGGCTGCAGCCGGGATTGGGGGGTCCATCCCAGACCCCAGCTCGAGTGCACAGACCAGGCTGTGCTGCCCAGAGCGGGTTTTCCATGCGGATCCCAATGGATCTGTCATTCCTTGCTGGAAACTGCCCCAAAATACCCCCAGTTTCTTGTCTTCTCCCATCTGGGAGCTGCTGTCCCGGCCACCCTCGGGTCCTCCCGTGCTATTGCTCCCCCCCCCCCAACCTGCTCCATCCCGCCTCTGCCCTGCTGGGGGTGGGAATTTCGCCTCATCCCACATCCCTGTGCAGGGCTCGTCCACAGGATAACCCCCCCGGCTGGCCCTTCCCGCATGGGCTCTGTGGAGGCGCTGGCACCGTCCACCTCCGGCCCCCCCTTTTTGTTATCCATGCGGGATTTTCCCCTGCTTTGTCCCGTCTCCGGGCGACGGCAACGGGAGCCAAGGCAGGGGCAAAGCCATTTTCTTGCTGGGATGCTGCTGCTTGGCAGGAGCAGCGGCTCTTTGGGGGATGTGGGATGAACCCCACATCTCCCAGCCCTGCTTCCCCCCTTCCCGCATCCCAGTCCTGCCCGGAAATCCCAGTTCCGGGCACTTCCCAGGATATTCCGCGTCCGGGGGTGGTGATCCTGGAGAAAAGCCCCTTTTGTGGTGGATGCCCGGGGAGGAGGCAATGGGGATGCAGCTGCTCAGGGTCATCCTCAAGGATAAGGCTAGAGCTGGGGGTTCCTAGGGGCTGCTCCATAGGGGGGCTGTTTCCTCTCTATCACACAATCCCAGCCTGGTTTGGGATGAAGGGACCTTAAAGCTCATCCAGCTCCACGGGGAGGGACCCCTTCCACTGGAGCAGCTTGCTCCAAGCCCCTGTGTCCAACCTGGCCTTGAGCACTGCCAGGGATGGGGCAGCCACAGCTCCTCTGGGCACCCTGTGCCAGCGCCTCAGCACCCTCACAGGGAAGAGCTTCTGCCTAAGAGCTCAGCTCAGCCTCCCCTCGGGCAGGTTCAAGCCATTCCCCTTGGCCTGTCCCTTGTAGTATCCCCAAACTGGGGTCCTCCTGACCTGGGGGGTGCAGAGGAACTGGGTCTGCACCGCGTGGCTTGGGGGGGAAACCGAGGCAGCGTCACCCCTGGATCCCTGTCGAACAAGAGATGCTTGGGATGAGGAAGGGGGTGCAGGTGCCCATGGGGGTGATTCCAAGAGGGAAACTGAGGCAGGGAGCCCCGCTCACCCCCTCCTTGGTCTCTCCATAGGGGACGGCTGTGGCCACACGCTGCTGACCCCCCAGAGCGGCACCCTCAGCTCCAGGAACTACCCGGGCACGTACCCCAACCACACAACGTGCCGCTGGCGGCTCCGGAGCCCCCCCGGCACCTTCCTCCTCCTCACCTTTGGGGATGTGGACCTGGAGCCTTCGGAGCGCTGCGCCAGCAGCTCCCTGCTGCTCACTGACCCCCAGGCCGGCATCTCCTATGGTAAGGGGGGAACTGGGGGGGGTATCACTTGTTAGCAAAGTGCTGGATAGGGATAACAGCAGGAAAATCCGGCTTTTTATCTGCTTTCATCATGGGGAAGGGGGGGGATCTATGGAAGGGGATATCCAAGAAGGGGGATACCCAAGGAAAGGGCTGTTGCCAAGCTGGGGTTGAGGGGGGGCATCCAACTGGGACCAGATGCAGGCACCAATTAATCCATTCCATCTGCCCAGTCACTGCTCAAACAAATGCTTCCCAGAGGGATTTAGTGGTCTGGGGTGGATTGTACAGTGCTGGGGGGGAGAAGTGTCACTGGTGGGCTGGAGGAGCAGCCCTGAGGCTTGGTGAGGGGCAAGGGACGTGATGTGGAAACGCTGTGACATCCCTGCAGTGTCCCATGTCCCCTGGGCTCAACATGAGCCAGGCAGGGTGAGGGTGCGGGTCTGGGTGGGGAAACTGAGGTCCAGCACCATGTCCATGGGGACACAGGGACACAGCTCCTTGTCCCCAGGGCAGTGATGGGTGTGGGTGCCCCAAGGCCCCCGTAATGGACATGATGCAGAGCAGAGACACAACGGGGGGGTGATGGCAGTGCAGAGATTGGGGCCTGCTGGGAGCAGGGATGTCCCTAAGGAGCCAGCTAAGCCGAAGTTTAATCAGGGAGATGGAGGCTGCAAATTAATGTGGATTCAATGGGAGGGGGATTTAGGAGGCAGCTTTGGTGGCACCTGTGAAAGGGGAGGTGGGGACACAGTCCATAGGCTGGAGCTTCGGGATCTGTGACCCCAGCCCTCTGCCTGTCCCCAGGGCCCTACTGCAGGAACACTGCCCCGGCCACCCCGCTCCTGGTGACCAACTCCAGTACCGTGACCGTCCTGTTCAACAGCACCAGCCACCGCTCCGGACGGGGCCTCCTCCTGTCCTATGCCACAACGCAGCACCCAGGTAGGGGGGAGCATCCCCCAGGGACACCCTGGGTGGGGGTCTCATCACCTTATCCCTTAGCTGGGGACACAACATGGGAGATGGGGTGGGGTGGGGGGGTGATGGCTGCAGGGACCCTCCCCACCCCTCCAGCCATGGAGCAGGGTTCGGTGGGAAGGGGATGAGGTGCTGGCAGGGGGTCCCTCACCCTGGGGTGTCCCTGCCTTGCAGACCTGGTCTCCTGCCTGGTTCGAGGCACCCACTACACCCAGGAGCACATCAGGTGAGTGGCAGGAGGGGCTTTGCTGATCTCCACCAGCCCCGGTTTCATCCCTGTCCCCTCTCATGGGGCTCTTGGGATGCAGCTGGAGGACGGGTGAGCAGAGGGGATTGCGATGGGGGTGAGCCCCGTCCCCCCCCATCCTCATGTGTTTCAGTGTGTACTGCCCCGCCGGCTGCAAGGACATCGAGGGGGACATCTGGGGCAACCCCAGCCAGGGCTACCGGGACGTAAGTGCAGAGCCATGGGGGTGCTGCTGGTCACCGGGGCTGTGTTCAGCCATGGGGCACCCCATAGGGTACCAGTCCCACCCCCTTGCTCCCCGGTGCAGACGTCGGTGCTGTGCAAGGCGGCCGTGCACGCCGGGGTGATCGCAGACGAGCAGGGCGGGCAGGTCACCCTGGCACGGGAGAAGGGCATCACGCTCTATGAGTCGGCCTTTGCCAATGGGCTCCACTCCAAAAGGTGAGGGATGAGGGGCAGGGACCTCCCTCTGTGCCCCACACCATTGTGCAGCCCCCCGGGTTTCCTCACAGGCTCCCTCCTCCCACAGGGGATCCCTCTCTGAGAAGCGGCTCCTGTTCCATAAAGGTATTTCCCGCATTTCCCCTCAAATGAAGCCATGGTTTTGGCAGCCAGCCCCGGTGCCAGCCCGGCTCCCACCCTGCCCTGCCCCATTGCCAGCCTGTGCCGATGCGCTGGACGTGGCTGCCTTCAACGCCTCGTCCTGGTGGCACGAGGTGGATGCGCTGGGCCAGGACCGAGCCTGGGGGCCCCAGCGGGCAGCGCTCAGCACCACCGGGCACTCCTGGGCAGCAGAACCCGGCTCTGGTGCTGCTTGGCTGGAGCTGGACCTGGGCACCCGCAGGAACATCACTGGTGAGTGCTGGGGACACAACCGTGCAGACGGGGGTGTCCCTGTCCCCCCCACATCCGCAGCCGGCTCTGTTCATGTTCTGCTCCTGCATCTGGTGCCAGCAAACGCCTTTTGTTCGCCTGGAGCCGGCCCGAAGTGGGGGCTTTGTGCCGGGAAAATGGGGCCATTGTCCCGGCCGGAGGCTGGAGGAGGCAGGAATGTGGCGCTGGCAGCCAGGGCCGGAGGTTATCGGCTGCTGGGGACAGCACTTGGATCCCTCCCAAGGCTGGAGGGTCCCCCTGCTCCTCATCCCCTCCCAGCAGGGATGTGGGTATCCCAGAGATGGGGGTGATTCCAGCTGGGAAAGCTCTGCCCCGTGCAATGGGGCACAATGGGACAGCCCCCCAAGCCCTTGACAGCGGGACCTCCCTCAGGCATCATCACCAAGGGCTCCTCGGAGCAGCACGACTACTATGTGAAGTCCTACCACGTGTCCTCCAGCCGCGATGGGAAGAACTGGAGACCCTATAGGGGCAGCAATGGGCAGGAGGACAAGGTGGGCATAGGATGGGGGGGGGGCACTAAGGGGGTGCAGCCCCCCAGCCTATGGACTTGTGGGCACCTCCTCACCCTCTCTGGCAGCTGTTTGAAGGCAACACCGACAGCCACGGGGAGGTCTCCAACGCCTTCATCCCCCCCATCGTTGGGCGCTACGTCCGTGTCACACCCCAGAGCTGGCACCAGCGCGTGGCCATGAAGGTGGCCCTGTTGGGATGTCAGTCAGCGCGGGGCCGAGCGCCCCGGCCCTATGGTGAGCCCCTCGGGGGGGTGGCCCCGTCCCACATGTCCCCATGGCACCTCCACTGTGCCCAATGGAGGTCCCCGCTCTGCCCCACAGCACCCGGTGTTCCCAGGGAGGTCCCTGTCCCCACCAGCCACGCACCCATCCCTGGTGTCGCCCTGGACCCGGAGAAGGCAGGTGGGTGCCATGGGGTCTTGTGGGGCTGTGAGAACACATTAATTGCCCTTCTCCGGTGGCTCTGCATGGGTGTCTGGCACCCATGGGTGCAGAGGGGTGGGATGGGGCACCCAGGGGCTGATGCTGCCCGCCCTCCCCAGGCTCCAGGCTGCTGCTGCTGCTGCTCATTGGCGGCTTTGTGCTGCTCTGCTCCAGCCTCCTGGTGCTGGCTTTCCTGTGCCGCAGGAAGAGGTGGGTCCCATCCTGACCCCCAAAACACAGCAGCAAGCTGGGTACCGAGGGGGGCGGTGCTGGGGCCCCCTCATCCCCATCGTGCTCTCCCCCTTGGCAGAAAACCAGCGGCGGAGCTGAGCTGTGGGATCATGAAAGGTAAAGAAGTGCCCCCAACCCCTCCATGGGGCCAGGGCTCCTGGTGCATGTGACAACGGGGGGGGTTTGGTCTCTGCTCAGGGCACCCCAAGCTGGATCCAAGCCCGGTGTGCTCCCTGCAGACCCTGCCGCCCCCCGGCTCCACGCTGGCCTCCTTCCCCACAGCGCCTGTGCCAGGGGACCTGATGTCACCAGGTAATGAGGACATCAGGGTGCCAATGGGGCTGCGTCAGCCCTACTGCACCCTGGGGTGCCCATTGCCCCCCCAGCACTGCGGGGGCAGGGGTGTTCTGCCCTCAGTGGGGTTTGGCATGGGTCACTGCAGTTTCTCCCAGCCCTTGGGGGGCCAGATGTGCAGGTTTGTTCCCCACCACCCACATCTGGAGCAGCAGCACAATGACCCCACTGCTGTGCTCTGGAGGGACCCCCCCCTGCAGCCCTGATCCAGCTCTGGGGCAGCAGCACAAGAGGGACGTGGAGCTGTTGGAGCGAGGCCGGAGGAGGCCATGGAGATGCTGCGAGGGCTGGAGCAGCTCTGCTCTGGAGCCAGGCTGAGAGAGCTGGGCTGGGGCAGCCTGGAGAAGAGAAGGCTCCTGAAGGGGAGACCTTAGAGCAGCTCCAGTGCCTAAAGGGGCTGCAGGAAACCTGGAGAGGGGCTTGGGACAAGGGCCTGTAGGGACAGGCCAAGGGGAATGGCTTGAACCTGCCCGAGGGGAGACTGAGCTGAGCTCTTAGGCAGAAGCTCTTCCCTGTGAGGGTGCTGAGGCGCTGGCACAGGGTGCCCAGAGAAGCTGTGGCTGCCCCATCCCTGGCAGTGCTCAAGGCCAGGTTGGACACAGGGGCTTGGAGCAAGCTGCTCCAGTGGAAGGGGTCCGTGCCCGTGGCTCTGGATGAGCTTTAAGGTCCCTTCCAGCACGAACAAACCCGTGCCTCTGTGACCCCTCCAGCACTGTGGGGCCAGTCCCGCACTCAGAGCCCGGCTCCCCCATTGCAGACTACGCAGAGCCAGACCTGGTGCAGCTGAGCCCCGGCAGCCAGCCCGCTCCCTCCACCTTCAAGCCAGCCCTGGATGAAGGCTACGCCCTGCCGCTGGTCCTGAGCCACTACGACACCCCGGGGAGGCACCACGAGTACGCCGAGCCGCTGCCGCCCGAGCCCGAGTACGCCACCCCCTTCACCGAGCCCGAGCCCGCCGCTGCGGGGGTCCCCCTCGCCCCTTCACTACGGTACCACACTCCAGCCCCTCGGCCCGCCGAGCCGCCGTGGGGAGGACCCGGTGGGGCGGCGCGGGGTGACAGCCCCGGGCTGGAGGCGACGCTGTCACACGTGTACCACGAAGCGTTGTGAAGCCGGGAGGGCTCTTAACAACACCCGTGTTTAAACACATGTACTGTGTCTGTAGCGGGAGCGCTGCCGCCGGTACCGCTGCCAGCACACGCAGGGTCCTGGTGCCACTGCTGCCCCCGGTACCAGTCCTGCTGCCAATGGTACCGGTACCATCGCACGCAGGGTCCCGGTGCCAGCGCTGCCGGTACTTGGAGGGTGCCGGTCCCATCACCACCACACGCAAGGTCCTGGTGCCACTGCTGCCGCCGGTACGAGTCCCGCTGCCAATGGCACCGGTGCCATCGCACGCAGGGTCCTGTTGCCACTGGTACCGGTACCACTGCACGCAGGGTCCTAGCGCTACCGCTGGTACCAGTCCTGCTGCCAATGGTACCACTACCATCGTACACAGGGTCCCGGTGCTACCGCTGGTACCAGTCCTGCTGCCAATGGTACCGGTACCACTGCACCCCTGGTCCTGGTGCTACCAGTCCTCTTGCCACTGGTACCGGTATCATCGCACGCAGGGTCCTGTTGCCACTGGTACCGGTACCACCGCATGCAGGGTCCTGGTGCTACCGCTGGTACCAGTCCTATTGTCATTGGTACCGGTACCACCGCACGCAGGGTCCCGGTGCTACCGCTGGTACCAGTCCTGCTGCCAATAGTACCGGTACCACCGCATGCAGGGTCCCGGTGCTACCGCTGGTACCAGTCCTGCAGCCAATGGTACTGGTATCATCGCACGCAGGGTCCCGGTGCCAGCGCTGCATTCCCACCGCCACCACGTGCAGGGTCCCGCTGCCCTGGTACCGCTACCGCTACCACCCCAGTCAGGGCTGCGGCTCCCCCGCTGCCGGCCGTAGCGGTACCGCTGCGCACATAGGTAAAGCCTCGCTTCCTCTTGCTACCGATACCACCGCCCGCAGCCCCTGCCGCACAGCCCCGGTACCCCTGCTTTCACTGTCGTTGACCTCTCCGGGGCGCCGGAACAAGCGGTTACCGGCGACCCCCTCACTGCAAAAATTGTGCTTCCGAAATCTCTTGATGTCGATTCCGCGGGAGCGGCCGCGGGGCCCCCCCGTGCCACGCACGGCAGAAGCCCTTTTTACCGCGCCGCTGCCGCCCGCCCGCAGCGGAAAGCGCTGCACTACCGCCGAGCTCACGGCGAGGAAATCCTCCCGCTGAAGGCTCACTGTCTCGATCTCAGCTTTTCCCGTCTTTCTCCCTACCTTTTACCGCTTCTTTTGCGTTTTTTACTGTTTTTTTCCCCACCAAATACGCCGTTTCCTTCCACCCCACACCCCTAATTAGTGATATGCAAATCCCGCGGTGCATGTTGGGACACCTCCTCTCTAAGCCGGGGAGGCAAGGAACGCGCTGTGGCGGGTGAGGCGTTGTTTTCTGATTGGCTGCGTCCTACAGCGCTTCCGGTCTCCCCGGAAGGGCTCGGGGTGCGCGGCGGAGCGAGCCGAGGGTCGGTCCGGCCGCGGGGCTATGGGGAGGTAGGGACCGTGTGCCGGTGCGGGGCTGTGGGGCGATGCGGGGCTGTGGGGCGATGCGGGGCTGTGGGGCGATGCGGGGCTGTGGGGCGATGCGGGGCTATGGAGCGATGCGGGGCTATGGGGCGGTGCGGAGCCGCGGGTCTTTGCGGAGCTATGGAGCGATGCGGGGCTATGGAGCGGGACAGCTAGTGCGGGGCTATGGGGCGGTGCGGGGCTATGGGGCTGTGCGGAGCCGCGGGTCTTTGCGGGGCTATGGGGCGGTGCGGGGCTGGGGGAGCTCGGCGTTCTCTGCACCGGCTGTTACAGCCTCCCGCACGGAGGGAGCCTGGGGCCGGGCCCCGGTGCAGCGGTGCCCGTGTGCCGGTCGGTGGCTGGGGGGTTGACAGCAGTGAGCGGGGCTCAGCCGTGATACCGGTTACCGGTGACCTTGGCTCTGCACCCGGTGACCGGCGGGAGGCTCGGTCCGGTCCTGCCACGGGGGGTGAGCTCTGGATGCCGAGTGTCGGTGCTGCGAGGGGGGGGCCTCATCAGCCCTTTATAAACCCCCTTGGAGCTGCTGGAAGCCCTCGGGTCTTCATAGGAGCAAGTGCTGAGGCTTGGCTTGGCTTTACCATAGGGGTTAATGGGAGCTGCAGCGGGAGGCTGAGAGGGCTGACTGCAGGCACCGGCCCCATCCCTGCCCCTGCCGCACTGCACTGCGTTGACACAAGAATTACATCGGGGCAGGTTTCTCCTCCTGCTTTAGGGTCCTTGGGGACGGATCTGCTCGGGATCAGGTCCTATCCTCTTACAGATAAACCCTCTGGTGCTGTCAGTGTGTGTTCTCTTGCCTGTGTCCTCTCTGAATGGGTGTTCCTATAGGAATGAGAGTTGTGTGGAAGAGGAGGGGAGGCGAGAGTAGGGTGAAGGCTTTGGGCAGCTGGCCCCACAGCGGTTGCTGATGTAGACACAGAGGGAAGGAAAGCCTGGTGTTGCCATGTGGGATTTGGCCTGGGAATCTGCACATCCCCCTTGTTTCATCTTTGGGGATCCTCACAACCTGCGGGGGGGGCGGGGGATAAAAGGATGCTGAGCTCCTCGGCCTCAAACGCCAGCCGAGGGGTTTCAAGTGTGAGAATCCTGCTTTCCCCGTGCTAATTCAGCTAAAACTGAGGTAGAAACTGAGCGTGTCCTGGGCATAAACCCTGCTCCGAGGGCTCCGTGTCCGTCTGTGCGTGAGTGTGCCTTGGAATGAAGCTTCCAGGTGCTCCTGCCTGGTCCCTGCCGTGTGTTTTGGTGTGAGTTAATCCAGACTAACAGAGCTTGTCCTGGCGATGGCAGGGTGCCTGGGGCGCAGGTACCGGATGCTCTCTTCATCCTTGACTTTTCCAACCCAAGCTGATGATGCGATTTTAGGAGGGCGTGAAGTGTTGATGGGGCCAGAAATGAGCCCTCCACACTGCAGCAGGCACCTGGGGGAGCTTGAACCCTGCCTTAGGCCCATGGAGCATGGAGATGGAGACTCCAACACTGCACCTGCCATTCCCCCATCGCTGCTTTTGGTTCCATCTTCTTTGTGTGGTCTCTTCCTCAAAGCTCCTTGTGGTCCAGGGGACATCTGTGCTCCGTGGCAGTGCTCAAGGCCAGGTTGGACACAGGGGCTTGGAGCAAGCTGCTCCAGGGGAAGGGGTCCCTGCCCGTGGCAGGGGTTGGAACTGGAGGAGCTTTAAGGTCCCTTCCATCCCAACCCATTCCATGATGCTGTGGAATGCAGCAGGGTGCTGAGCAGAGGGTGCAGGTGGCCACGTGTGGGATTCAGTGTGAGAAACGTGCTCCTCATCCTAAACCACTGCATTGGACCAGGGATGGTTTCTCTTCTTCTCAGTGTTCCTTCTCCCTTCCTGCTTTGTCCAGAGCGACCCAGCCTCCTGCAGACCCCCAGGCCCTGCCAGGACACTTGTTTGTCCAGACAAAGCTGTGATGGCCCTGTTCAATCCCTTCTGTCTCTGCTAACCATGCCTTTCCTTTCCTTTCCCAGCTGACCGGTTTGGGTGCCCACCATCCCAACAAGGAGCAGGGCCGAGAGAAACCGCATGATCTAAAAGCTAAAGCCCAACAGATTATGAACCAGTTTGGTCCCTCGACCTTGATCAACCTCTCCAGCTTCTCCTCCATCAAGCCAGAACCAGCCAGCACCCCCCCTCAGAGCTCCATGGCCAACAGCACCACCGTGGCAAAGATGCCCGGAACACCCAGCGGGGGAGGCCGCCTCAGCCCTGAGAGCAACCAGGTAACGGCATTCCTGACTGCAGGACAACACCGGAGCAGCTCCCAGGGCCTAAAGGGGCTTCTGCCTTATAGGGTGGCAGCGGTGCTGACCTGTGTGTGTGCTCCATGGGGAGCCCCTGGTGTGTATCAGTGCAGTGTATCAGCAGCCCCTGGTGTGTATCAGTGCAGTGTATCAGCAGCCCCTGGTGTGTATCAGTGCTGCTGCCCATCAGGCCCAGGATGTGCCCTCCCTGGGAATTGTGCTCATCCCTTCACACAAACAGGGTGTGATGGCACCAGGAAGGGCAGGAATTCCCTACGTGTGTCTTGGTTCAGCTGACAGATCCATGGGGATAACGTGCATCCAGATCCTATACACCCCAGTTTGCTGCTGATGCTCAGCAGCAGCAGGATTTCTGCTCCCTGCCCTGTTGGGGCTGCTCCCTTCTGCCCCTGAGTGACCCCACACTCACAGATCCCTCTGTTTCCCATTGGAAGCACTAAAACTGATAAGAGCCAGAGCCATGGAAACACTTCCCTTGTGCCCTGGGCACAGATCTAGTCACTGATAGGTGCTTGCACTTGCTGTCTGCCTTTGTCCCTCTTGCTTCAGCACTGTAGCACCAGTGGAGTGCAGGAGACTTATTTCTCCTGGCCTGCTGCCTGCTGTTCACAGGGGCTGCTGGTGCTTGTAAACGGCTCTTCAACACCTCCTAGTTCTTATCTCTGCCCTTCCTGAACTGATCCTTTGTGACTTGGGCCTGGGAGGCAGCTGGGGAGGAGGCTTTGGCTGAAGCAGGGCAGTAAATGGCTCCTCTTCTGCCACACTCTCAGGTTTTAACCAAGAAGAAGTTGCAGGACCTGGTGCGTGAGGTGGATCCCAACGAGCAGCTGGATGAGGATGTGGAGGAAGTAGGTACCAACCTGTGCCAGGGCCTGCAGGAAGAGCAGGTGCAGGCTTTTCCATGGCTGCTTTGTGCAGAGCAGGGAGGGGGGGGTTGGTTCATTGGACACTTGTGAGTTGTCACGTTCGCTGCACCCTGCAACCATCCATTGGTGCTGCAGTGGCAAGAAGGGGTTTCCAACAGGAATAGCAGCAAACCCCTTTGAAATGGGAACTTCTGAGGGCTCATTTTCATACTTGGTGCACAACTTCAGCTGCTCAGCACTGAGAAAACCGGTTCTTGTCCCTGTCCTGGCCCAGATGCTGCTGCAGATCGCTGATGACTTCATTGAGAGCGTGGTGACAGCGGCCTGTCAGCTCGCACGGCACCGCAAGTCCAACACCCTGGAAGTGAAGGATGTCCAGCTGCATCTTGGTGAGTGACCTCGGTTTGGTTGCAGAGAATCACAGACTGCTTTGTGTTGGAAAGGAGCTTAAAGCACATCCAGAGCCACGGGCAGGGACCCCTTCCACTGGAGCAGCTTGCTCCAAGCCCCTGTGTCCAACCTGGCCTTGAGCACTGCCAGGGATGGGGCAGCCACAGCTTCTCTGGGCACCCTGTGCCAGCGCCTCAGCACCCTCACAGGGAAGAGCTTCTGCCTAAGAGCTCAGCTCAGTCTCCCCTCGGGCAGGTTCAAGCCATTCCCCTTGGCCTGTCCCTACAGGCCCTTGTCCCAAGCCCCTCTCCAGGTTTCCTGCAGCCCCTTCAGGCACTGGAGCTGCTCTCAGGTCTCCCCTTCAGGAGCCTTCTCTTCTCCAGGCTGCCCCAGCCCAGCTCTCTCAGCCTGGCTCCAGAGCAGAGCTGCTCCAGCCCTCGCAGCATCCCCATGGCCTCCTCTGGCCTCGCTCCAACAGCTCCAGGTCCCTCTCATGCTGGGGCTCCCTTTCCTCGCTGGTGTGTGGGTCCCCAGGACGTCTCCAGCACTGCTGTGCTGTCAGGGGCTGCAGTGATGGGGCTGCTCTTGCAGTCGGGGCAGAGCTGAGCTGTGCTCTCTCTTCTAGAGCGTCAGTGGAACATGTGGATCCCAGGCTTTGGTTCTGAAGAGATCAGGCCCTACAAGAAAGCCTGCACCACAGAAGCTCACAAACAGGTGAGGAGCCCATGGCACATGTGTGGTGTGGGGAGGGGTGGTACTGGACTCGTAGCACGAGGTGAATTTGTAGCCTCTTCCACCTGCTTTGAACTGGAAATCACTTGGTTTTGCTCTTTTGCGTTGGCTTCTAAGTGCATGGTCAGAGCTGGGGAAGGAGCTGTTGGATGATTCCCATAGAATCACAGCATCAGAGTGGTGTGGGTGGAAGGGACCATAAAGCTCATCCAGTTATGATGTCTGGTGGACCCCTTCCACTGGAGCAGCTTGCTCCAAGCCCCTGTGTCCAACCTGGCCTTGAGCACTGCCAGGGATGGGGCATTCAACCCATCCCAGTGTCCCACCATGCTCCCAGGGAAGAATTCCTTCCTAAGGTCTCATCTCCATTTCCCTTCTGGCAGGTTCAAGCCATTCCCCTTGTCCTGTCCCTACACCCCATGTCCAAAGCCCCTCTCCAGGTTTCCTATAGGCAGTTTTGCACCTCCCCTCCTGAGGTTCTGGCAGGGACGGGGGCTCCTGATCCCTGCCCTCCCCATCCCTCCGTGTTTCCCATGCTGAGGAGCACAGGCACTGCCTTTGCCTCTGGCTCCCACCTGGGACCCCATTAAGATTCCAGCAGACCTGCCAGACCTGTGTGGAGCGAGTCGGGCAGCACCTGTCCCCGGGGCACCCCAGACACCCCCCTCCCAGGCTGCTCTGCAGGAACCGCTCCCCGGCGCTCTCCTTCCCAAGGGATTTCTCTTCCTTTCTCACAGAGGATGGCGCTGATCCGCAAAACCACCAAGAAATAACCCAGGGCTGAGCCGGGAGTTTGGGATCTGCCTCCGCCGGAGCCCCCCAGCACCACGCAGGGGTCGGGGGTTCCATGCTCGACACAGAAGCATCGGTTTCCCCTTCGTGGTGCAGCAATACCTGGGGTTCCCGAGGGGATTCCAGCCCCTTCCTCCCGCCGCGGGCCTCGGAAACAAAGACTCTTTGTGACTTGAACATGGGTTTCTGCTCTCGGTGATTATCCAGGGGACAGAGCCTTTGAGCGTGTGTGGGACAGTATTAGAAGCATCCGTAGAGGTTTTCGTGCCCTCCCTCCTGCCCCGGTACTTTGTAATGTCAGTGTTTCTATGCGGACTTGCCTTTGTTTTACAGGAATAAAGAAGTTATTAATCTACAGCCTGGTGCTCTGCTGGGTGTGCAGAGAGAAAGGGGCAGCAGCTCCATCACTGGGGTTTGCCTCTGGTGCAAGATCCCTTTCGGTGGTGTTAGAGAGAAGGGAAGGGGTTTGGGCTGGTCCCTGTTTGTGGACAGAGCGGGGCAGGCGCCGTCCCCTCCTGCCTGCAGCCCAGGGTGCTTGGATCATGGGATGTGGTGCCTGAGGATGAGCAATGGAGCGGGGGTCCCAGCGTGGGCTGTGCAGGAGGGGCTGCAGGACGGGGCCCTCTGAGCATGAGGGCTGGGTGGTAAAAGGGGTTCAGATGAGCCCTTGGCCGAGGTGGGGTTGGTGACACCCCCAGGGGCTGGGCCCAGCCTCAGAACAGAAGAGGGACACAGGTGACACCCACTCCTGCACACCCCCCCTCACACACAGGCAGAAGCACCGAACAGGGGTGTTTAATGCGCTCCGTGCCCCACAGCGGCCGGGTCCCAGTGCCCACCTCTAGCAGGAGCAGCTCTTCCACCTCTTCTCCTTCTCCATCACCGCAGGCTGGAGCGGTGCTGGCAGCGGGACGCTGCTCTTGACCCCATCCCAGGCCTCGCCGGCTGCCAGCTGCCCCGTCCGCAGCGCCTGGTAGATGGTGACCGTCAGCATCCGGAAGGCCTGGACCACGTTGGTGGCGTCCTTGGCCGAGGTCTCGATGTACTGCACCCCCAGCGCGGCCGCCAGCCTCTCCGCCTCCCTCCTGCTCACGCGGCGCTGCGCAGCCAGGTCGCTCTTGTGTCCCACCAGCAGGAAGACGATGCGGGACGGGGGCACCGTGTCCGTCACCTCCCGGTGCCAGCGCCGCACGCTCTGGAAGGACGCGGGGTTGGTGAGGTCGAACAGCAGCATCCCCCCGGCCGAGTTGCGGTAATAGGAGCGGGTCACGGACCTGGGGCAACGGGAGAAAGGGGGGGAGCATCGCCCCTGCCTGCAGCACAGCCCCTGCCTGCAGCACAGCCCCTGAGCTCCCCCTTCAGCTCCAGCCACCATCCTGGTGCTCTCCTATCCCCTGTGGCCACCGTCCTGGTGCTCTCCTATCCCCTGTGGCCACGGTCCTGGTGCTCTCCTATCCCCTCTGGCCACCGTCCTGGTGCTCTCCTATCCCCTGTGGCCACGGTCCTGGTGCTCTCCTATCCCCTGTGGCCACTGTCCTGGTGCTCTCCCATCCCTGTGGCCACGGTCCTGGTGCTCTCCCATCCCCTGTGGCCACGGTCCTGGTGCTCTCCCATCCCCTGTGGCCACGGTCCTGGTGCTCTCCTATCCCCTGTGGCCACGGTCCTGGTGCTCTCCCATCCCCTCTGGCCACGGTCCTGGTGCTCTCCCATCCCCTGTGGCCACGGTCCTGGTGCTCTCCTATCCCCTTGGGCCATGGTCCCAGTGCTCTCCTATCCCCTGTGGCCACGGTCCTGGTGCTCTCCTATTCTCTCTGGCCAGTGTCCCAGTGCTCTCCCATCTCTTCCACCCATGGTCCTGGTGCTCTCCCATTGCCTCCAGCCACAATTCTGGTGCTCTCCTATCCCCTGCGGCCATGGTCCCAGTGCTCTCTCATCCCCTGCGCTCACGGTCCTGGTGCTCTCCTGTTCTCTCTGGCCATGGTCCCAGTGCTCTCCCATCTCCTATGGTCATGGTCCTGGTGCTCTCCTGTTCTCTGTCGCCATGGTCCCGGTGCTCTCCCATCCCCTGCAGCCACCGTCCTGGTGCTCTCCCATCCCCTGAGGCCATGATCCTGATGTTCTCCTCTCTGGCCATGGTCCTGGTGCTTTCCCATTCCCTCCAGCCATGGTCCTGGTGCTCTCCCGTCCCTTACATCCATGTCTCTTGAGCTTGCCCATCTCCTCATGGGGCAAAGGGAGGCTTGGGGGGTCCTGAACCCCCTTTAGAGCTGGATCAAGGGCTCCGTTCCCTAGGGACACCCTTGCCTTTGACTCATCTGAGCCCCTGCAGCCTGCCCGGGCGTTGCGGTTCCATTCCCAGCACAGGGACGCCCATTGGGGTTGGGTCACAGCTCCCTAACGCAGGGGCCCCATGGGCAGAGCAGGACTCACCTGAACCTCTCCTGCCCGGCCGTGTCCCAGAACTGCAGCTTCACCCTCAGCCCCGGCTCCAGCTCCACGAACTGGACGTAGAAATCCACCCCCACCGTCTGGTTGATGGCGTCCAGGAACACCCCCTCCGTGTAGCGCCGCAGCAGCGAGGATTTGCCCACCGTGGAGTCCCCCAGCATGATCACCCGGAACTGGAGCTGCCACCGCGGCTCCATCGGCTCCGCCGGCCCCGCGCCCGGAGCGTGTACGGGCAGGCAGGAGCTGGCTCCTCCACCCAGGAGGCGTTCCCGGCCCCTTTTATCCTGGCTCCCTCCGCATGGATTCGCTCAGGGGGAGCCTGGTCCTGTTCATCCCATCAAGACACTGGGGGGGTGACACCTTCCCCCCCCAAAGCAGAGCATCCCCCATTGCTCACCCTGGAGAAAAGAAGGCTCCTGAAGGGGAGACCTCAGAGCAGCTCCAGTGCCTGAAGGGGCTGCAGGAAACCTGGAGAGGGGCTTGGGACAAGGGCCTGTAGGGACAGGCCAAGGGGAATGGCTTGAACCTGCCCGAGGGGAGACTGAGCTGAGCTCTTAGGCAGAAGCTCTTCCCTGTGAGGGTGCTGAGGCGCTGGCACAGGGTGCCCAGAGAAGCTGTGGCTGCCCCATCCCTGGCAGTGCTCAAGGCCAGGTTGGACACAGGGGCTTGGAGCAAGCTGCTCCAGTGGAAGGGGTCCCTGCCCGTGGCAGGGTTTGGAACTGGAGGAGCTTTAAGGTCCCTTCAACCCAAACCATGTTACTCTATGCCATGGGTTGAGTCTTGGTGTGTCCCAGTGCTCAGAGCAGCCTTTATTTAGTGTGGAAAAGCCTCATGTTCATCAAACCCTCCCCTTTAGGGAGGTGCTGTTTAGTCAAAGCCCCCACATTAAGGCTTTAAATAACCCTTGTGGGGACGCAGCCCCAGGGCTGGGTGCTGGTGAGGTTTGGGGGTCACCTCAGCACCCTGCCAGCCCCTCAGCCCCTTCCCTTGGGGAGCTGTGGGTCCCCCAACCAGACTGGGGGCTCCAGAGCAGCCCAGTGGGGTCCCTCCATAGCCCTCAACAGCCCAGAGTGCAGTGGGGATGGAGCAGCACCCCTGGGTGGGTGCTGATGGGGTCCTGCATGGGGCTGTGTCCGTGTCCCTGCCCCAGTGCTGCAGCTTGTCCCTTGTCCTCATCCTGCAGCACATTCCCTGGGGACAGGGCCAGCTCCAGCCTCACCATCACTGCATGGACACAGAAACCATCACCAGGAGGCACCAGGTCCCTCCTTGTTGCCATCATGGGCCAGCTCCACCCAGCCGTGGGGCTGCAGGTGTAGAACACACTGTTGGAAGGGCTCCCAAGGAACCAGTCCCAGAACTGGGAGGGAAAGGAGCTCTTGTGTCCCCCTGTAAGGCTGCATGGACACGGGGAATCCCTCCCCCCTGCAACAGCTCTGGGGCTCTTTCCTCTCCATCCTAAGGGAATGGGTAACGGACGCTGGCAACGCTGAAGGTGTCATCTTTGTCCATGCAGGCACCCCAATGGCCAGCCACCAACAGGAACCCACCTCGAAGGATCAGGTGGAAGAAGCCATTTGGATTTAGGGCTCACCCCAGCAGGACGCAGGTGCCTCGGCAGCAGCCCAAACCCCAGCACAGAGGACACAGCACAAGCTTCGAGTGATTGTGTTTATTGACCCTCCAACATCCCACACCCAGACCCTCCCCTCCAAGCTCTTCTCCTTGGGAAACTCCAGTCCCTCCATGCAGGGCTGCAGCAGGAGCCAGACAGGGTCCCTCTTGGTGGGTGCAGTGAGTGGAGCTCAGGAAGGAGCCAGGATGTGGCTCTGCAGAGCTCCTGCAGCCCTCAGGGACCAGCTCACACCTCAGCTCCATGCAGACCTGAAGAGGGATAACAGATAAAGCAGCTCAGTGAAGGGCAGCAGCTCCTGGGGCCACAGGATTCCCATCTGTCCCTTGGCTCCTTCATGCCTGGCCTCAGCCCCATATCCGCAGGACTCATCCAGCAGTCTCCAAAGGAAGGATCATCACGGACCAGGCTGTACCCAGAGGGCTGCCCAGTTAAGATCCCAACTAACAAAACCCGTAATTCCCAGATGAATTAGTGGCCACTTCCAGTACAGACAGAGCCAGCTCAAACCATCCCTTCCCCCCACCAAGGGCTGGTGAGATCCCACTCAAACCACCAGGGGCACTCACCCAATCCCAGGTCAGCTTCCCTCGATGCAGGCCCTAAGGAAGGCAAAGCCCATCCCTTCCCCATGGAGAGGCGCTCAGCAGCTCTTTCCCAGCAAGTAATTCCTGGAAAAACCAGCCCCAGTGAGATGGGAAGCTGGTGGGATGCTGCCCACCGGAACTGATGCACTGGATCCAGCCCAGGTGAACCCTGGGCTCCTGCCGTGCCCAACCTTCCTCCATGCTCACTCCCACCCCAGCCTTCCCACACACCACCAGCACAGGCTGTCTGCTGACTGGCCCCTCTCCCAGCAGCACTGCTCCAGCACAGGATGAGACCAGCCAGAATGTTGCTTTTCCTCCTTTTTTGACCATGAGATC